CAAGGAATCGCGGCGCCCTAGACGACTGCGCCACCCGTGCCCCCCTGAGGCAATGGGGCTAACTGACTGTAAAAGTCCAGTTCCCACCCTTACCGAACTATGCTGGAATTTAATGGCTTGATCGTAGGGCCACCACTGGCTATTACGAGTTATGTCCCTTCTATGTCCCTCCTATTGACCAATCAGATTCCACATCTCATATCACTTGCATTTTCTTCAAACAAAATGGTGACGCCCAGTCATTATAAACCCATCACGGTTATCACATTGTTTTGGACGGTAGTTGTGTTTTTTTATAAAAACCTCTTTGGGGGGTGTACTTTTTCTTAGTAAGACCTGATAAGTTGAATAGCTGATGAAGTTTGGACTTCGTGTTTCAAACGTCCAGTGTTCTAAAAATTTACCACTTGAAACAAAAAAATTGAACAATTGAATTGAAAATTTTTGATTATGGATGACGGGAATGTAACCTGCATCCTCATATATCAGTTTTGTGACCAACTGTTTTCTCACTGAGCAATCAGGGCAGGTGATGAAAGGTTGTTCAATCTTACATGTCGTGGCTTCAGTTTGTGTTCATGCTGCACATGGTCTTTCTCTCACACACTTTCATTGAATTCTTTTTATACAGAGACATACAGTATTGTTTCACTATATGGTATTCTGATGTTTCTTTACTTTTTTCTGTTATTTCTTGCATTTACACAGTTTGACTAAACACTACCCTGCGGTTTTAATTGAAAATGTAAAACCTTGAGTTAGGGAAAAGTGGTGTTACAACCAAAATCTCGGAGCAATGGTTTTTCCTTACAGACGATGTTTAATGTAATAAAATGGATCCTACTTCATGAGGTGCATCAAATCACTTGAGCACCCTGATTAACAACATGAAACAATTTGGAAAAAATCTGTTGACGCCCAGTTGACGGTACACATGATCTAGAAATCTACAATTGACCGAAATCTGCACGGCAGTCGCCATGTTCTTTATGAACTGAATGTCAATTTCGCTACACAACTTTGGATAATTTTTTAATTTGAAGTTTACACGATATATGGCTTTTCTATTGGACGAGAGGTCGGTCACATGACTGCAAAATTGATTTTCATAAGTGTATGAACGACACAATTTGACGTTTCTTACGTTTTTCACAAAACGTGTTCTTGAAATGACGTAAACACTGACGGACTACTTCCACATTCCTGGGGAAACCCCTGGGATTTCCCTAGCACGAAAACATACATAAGCATTATTTCTGATCATTTAGAACCTTTTATCTTGGTCTCAGCCTTTCAGTATACCGGTACATTGAGAAACGTAAGAGAGCTTGACTGCATGATTGTTTACGAATTTCCTCGCTACGGCCCATCCTAATGAACAATTGAAAAAATGCACATCCAAACTATCGTCAGTATCGACTCGATCTGTGTCTAGGCTGACAGTGACCGTCTCCAGCAATCTACGAATTTACCTTGGTGTCTGTTTGACGCATCTTTAATCACCTTTCAATAATCGGTCAGTTGATCAATGATGACTAACACATGTAACCGCCACAGGTTCATTAACAACTTCGAAAATCCTCCCGTCACGTTTATCGTGTCCGCCATTTTGACGTCTTATACTTGATGTAAATGTATTACAACGCGCTGTCTTTGTGACTGACTTACTGAGGTAGTTCTTTACAGACCTTTCTCATCTCATGGTGTTATTATTTGAACACATGTTTTGCATAAGATGTTTCTGAAGAGCAAGTTGTGCATCCATACGCCCATGTCACCTCTCTTTTTGAGGAACTATTTTACTCCGCGATATACCTGGTTGTTGTATGGCTGTCAGTGTAAACAGAAATTGTGATAAAAAAATTATAAGAATTGACTTTCACTTTGTGTGAGTTCATTGGAGTATGAACCTTCATAGAGTGAGGGCCAAACATTGTATGAACGTCGTCGCAAGCTTTGACGTTTAACAGTTTGGCCCTCACTCTATGAAGGTTCATACTCCAATGAACTCACACAAAGTGAAGGTCAATTCTTAATTGAACTATGCATAGACTTGTTAATCCAGCCAAAATGTTACTCCATAATACCAGCCTAGTTCAGCAAGGGTGGAAATTGGACTTTTATAGTCAGTTAACTCCCTTGCCTGGGGAAAATGCACAGCTCTCTCCCCGAAGATCTGACAAAGCCTCCTTTTGGGTCAGGTAAACTAATCAGCAAATCAGAGGCAAGTGTTCTAAATTCTTGCTTGGTATGAACATCATATCTCATTTCTGTATCCGGAAAGAATCAGGGTAGTTCTGAATGGAAAATGATAAAGAACTGGTATTTTATAAACACTGGAATTTCTGACTGCCATGGCATGTACTCCCACAATAGTGTACTAAGGAGGACATATTTGGGTTCTGTGTGGGTTTAATTTTGTTGAGATTGAAATCAAGGTGTAATGAAATGAAACTGAATCATTTTAGAAAAGTGACATCTGTGTAACTCAAGTACCCCCACATCCTTCATTTAGATCGGACAGTGAGAGTTTGCTCAGGTTTCAACTCCCACAACCTCCTGTGAAGGGTCCGTCAAATCTCCACTGCCAGGTGTCAGGTTGGAGTACAAGATAGTCTGTCAACAGTTACCTCCCTTTGATGTGTAATCATAATATGTTAACATTAAGTGTGTTCAAATTTCACATGTACAAGGATGTGACTAAAAACATCCACAGATCTCAGTGTAAACAATTTGCAATCTTAACATATCATTATATCAGTACATTTTCAAATATTTCAACCCCATCCTGCAAAAACAGTGAAGTAAAATCATGTGGCATTTTTGTTAAGGCATTCTGCTAAAAAGGACAAAAGACTTCTGAAAGATTGATTGAACAAAGTTAAACAAATCCACTGTATATAAGACAAGAGTGCTCTGAAAGCACAACATCCCCCACATGAGTTTTCTTAACAAGTTTATATTTTCTTTGTATTTTATGAAATAACAACAGTAGATGGCACTGCATTTGAAACAAATTGTGCAGAACATTTTGTTGGGAGTAATCCAGTCTGAATGCTAATGCCATAAGGATGTAGCTCACCCACAAAAGCCTTATACAAGGAAACTAACTATAGTTATAGTTAGATATTGTGATAATCTCTGGAAACTGGAGGAGGAGTAGATTTCATGAAGCTCCGTAAAACAGGGGCAGTATTTCTATCAAAATTTGTCGAAATGAAACAGGACTGCGATATGCTTATCATCAACATGTCGACATCTTGTGTGTAGAGTGTCGGGGATATTCTCTAAAAGCTGGAGGAGGAGTTGATTTCACAAGCTTAGTACCTCTCTCACAATTAGGTAAATGAAGCTCCTTAAAACAGGGGCAGTAACTCTGTCAAAATTTGTCGAAATGAAACGGGACTGCGATATGCGTATCATCAACATGTCGACATCTTGTGTGTAGAGTGTCAGGGATATTCTCTAAAAGCTGGAGGAGGAGTTGATTTCACAAGCTTAGTACCTCTCTCACAATTAGGCAAATGAAGCTCCGTAAAACAGGGGCAGTAACTCTGTCAAAATTTGTCGAAATGAAACGGGACTGCGATATGCGTATCATCAACATGTCGACATCTTGTGTGTAGAGTGTCAGGGATTTTCTCTAAAAGCTGGAGGAGGAGTTGATTTCACAAGCTTAGTACCTCTCTCACAATTAGGCAAATGAAGCTCCGTAAAACAGGGGCAGTAACTCTGTCAAAATTTGTCGAAAGGAAACGGGACTGCGATATGCATATCATCAACATGTCTACATCTTGTGTGTAAAGTGTCAGGAATATTCTCTAAAAGCTGGAGGAGGAGTTGACTTCACAAGCTTAGTACCTCTCTCACAATTAGGCAAATGAAGCTCCGTAAAACAGGGGCAGTAACTCTGTCAAAATTTGTCGAAATGAAACGGGACTGCGATATGCGTTTCATCAACATGTCGACATCTTGTGTGTAGAGTGTCAGGGATATTCTCTGGCAACTGTAGGAGGAGTTGATTTCACAAGCTTAGTACCCACTGTGGGACGGACAGACGGACGGACAAAGTGCGCCACGACATAATCCCCCTTCGGCCGTTCTGGCCCAGCAGGGGATAAAAACTTAAACATCTCCTCATGCATGGGATGAGAAAATGGCTGTTAGCATGAGCATCTACCCATGGCTGTCACTGTATGATCACAAAAATACAAAACCTGTGGGGGTTCCAGGGTAGAATAGGTCCCCAGCAACCTACGCTGGTCATAAGGTGATGATATGGATAATGCAGTCAGACTTGATGACTTGGTTGATAGTGGGCCATAATACCTAGATGGCATCGATCAATACTCATTATATCAATCACTGGATTGTCAGGTCCCAGATTAGATTATTTTTTGGCCGCCGTCACAGAGCTCAATTTTTGCTGAGTGCGGCAACAAAAAAATCAAAACCACCATACTAAAGTAACAACTGACAGCTGTCCTCTGAGTGTCTGTGCTCTGCACTAGTTTGTCTCAGGGACCTGTTCTCAGCTGACAACCCTCTCAAGCTCTGTAACAATACTGTTTGTTATATGTGACCCACCAGGAGAAAGGGGACCTTATGGGTGCTAGGATACAACTGTGCTATGACATCAGAAAGACATTTGATGTCAACTTACTTCAATGAAGACCGCCATGTGGACTGTACAAAAATATTTTTCTCTCATTAGTTCGTAATGTAGTAAACACATTATTTCAATTCTACTTTTCAATTCATCAGACATTATAAAAACTAAAAACTGTAATTATTACAAAATCAGTTATAAGTCGGAAAATGAGTCCAAATGTTTGATGTCATGTATCTCTGAAATAAATATGAATTGAAGCTTGTGAATTGTATTTTTGTGTTCCAAAGATACTGTAGTATTAAAAATATGATGTGAAGGAAAAACGTGATGTTTCACCCATAAAGTCCCTTATCTCCTGGTGGGTCACGTATAATGCTATCAAACTCACCAGTTTGTATCACTAAGGATAGCAAGAGCCTCATCCAAGCTTTCCTCTGGCACAATGTCGTCATAAGTGACTAACGCCTCGTACATCTTGTTGGCTGTCGACTTCCGTACCTGGGTCACAGAGATATAGAGAGGATGATCAGCTCAAGATGCAGACAAGGAACTGAGGGCATTCATTTAGATAGATATTGAAAACAAGATGCTTCCGGTGCAGTCAAGGAAATGTTTTCTCATAATGAATCCTATTATTCAGCAGAAGGGTAAATGGTTGTACACCAGCTTTAAGCAACATTCCAGCAGGTCACAAATAATAAGCTTCATAGACTGTATCCATACGGATGGAGAACCAATCCTTGGTCTTCAGCATGACAAGCTAACACCTTTACCATGATACTATCCAACCATCCCAGAAGTACCAGGGGATCACAACCTGACCCCAAACCTTTTGACATTCCCCCCCCACGTCCCCCCCCCCATGATACTTACCCTCGGGTATCTGTGACAAAGGAGCATGACAAGATTTAGCAGCACATTTTTCCGGGTATTTCCTGGGAATTCCAGAAGCCCACAGTACCTGCAGTGGGAGGAATACAAGCCTATATTAGTGGAGTGAGTGAGTATGGTTTTACACTGCCTTTAACACTATTCCAGCAATATCACGGCAGGGGACACCAGAAATGGGCTTCACACATTGTACCCATGTTGGGAATCGAACCTGGGTCTTCGGCGTGACGACCAGGGGTCCGGAAACCGTCATATGCGCCGGACATGTCCGATTGGGAATCTCAAATGTCCGTTTTAAAATATTGCTTACCGGACATTTTAAAAAGTATTGTCCGGACTTTCTTAAATTTTGACCGGACATGATCAACAGTTAGGACTGAGCAGTTTCTGTCTGCAGTTGCAACACAATGAAGATTAACTACACTGACAAGCTTTGTTTGTTTTGATTGCTGTAAATACATCGTACCTACATGATAGTCCAATCGGTCAATCACTGTAATAGGCAATAAACTGAGTTGACACTGATTAATCGAGGATTAATTACTGAGAACATCTTGTTAATTTGCGTGAAAGGTGTTTACAACTGTACATTAATACCTTGCATCATCGATGTACCTCATAATCCTCACAATGCTACGATACGTAACCTCAGACAAGAAGCGAAAGCGTGACGACAGGCAGTCGACCGATGCAGATCAGTCGAGCGGATCTGCCAAACCCTCAAAGTCTGGACGATCATTTTGTAAGTCGTGGCTAACGACTTTCACTTGGTTGACATACAATGAGGATTTGCAGATTTTATTGCTTTCAGTAGCTAGTCGTATATTGAATCTTGATTGACCGCCATTTTGCTTTCTCGGACGATCGATATCCAATTTTTTTATGGTCAATAATTAAGTACAGATGAAAAAAGTATTCAAATAACTATTGCTATCAACGATATTTTAGTATTTGTGATTAAATTATCTGTCTTGTTTTTAAAAAAATCTTTAGTTAAAAAAAAACTTTTCCCGTGAGGTCACGTGATAACCAAATATGGGATAATAGTCTCGATCCAAATGTTACAACGCGTACACTTGAGCAGACTCATGAATATAACTCATGAATATTAATTAGACCGTTCACTACGTTAACAGATCGTTATTATAACAGAAACAAACATATTTTTTCCATGTAAATCTAAAATGATATTATTTGTTATTAATTGTCCGGTGAATTAAACAATTTAAATTGAAACAATTCATAATTCATCATATTATGAAGACGTAAACTTGTAATGTGTGTGAAAAGTCGTACTAAAATACGCTATTTGAAGGGGGCGTGGCCTAAATGCAAATGTCCGATTGGGATTTTAAATTTTCCGGACCCCTTGTGACGACCTAACGCTTTAACCACTAGGCTACCCGATCACCCTTATATTAGTGGTGACTTACAGGTAGGCAGATAGGAAACATGGCAGAAAGCAGTAAAATACAAGCTCAGTGGAAATGGCATCTTATGTAAAGGTAATGGTATCACAAAAGGTGGCATGTGGTCCTATGCAAAGCTGACAGGTACATGCAGGTGAAGTTCAGCAAAGCTGGTGACGGAGAGTGGGTTGATAGGTGATTGTACCCAGAAAGCAGGACCCCTGAGAGTTTATAGGACATAAAACCCAAAAGGTCTTCTAAGGAAAGTGATTTTGTTGGAAGCGATGGCTGCCCCTTCAGATGAGTGAGTAAGTGGGGTTTATTGTGACCTTGAAAATGGTTTGAGTCATATGCTGGCTGTCATCTCCATGTGGAAGGAAAGCCCAGGGTGACATGGGATGAAGACATGGTGAACCCTGGGCAGGGTATGGCACTGACAGACCAAGGACCACACTAAGGACTTATCTGGGATTTGAACCTGCTGATCCTGACAAGGCTAAAGAAGTCAAAGCAAATTGTAACACAGTTAACAACAGGACCATGCATCCCTCCTGGCTCCATGAAATGTTTTCAAACTGGTAACTTACACATCAGCCCCTGCCATCAATTTGTTGGGGTCTCCGCTGCGAGCTAATTCTTTCTTCACCAGCTCTGTCATGTCAGAAGGGAACGGGTGTCTGAAGAGAGAAGAAACAATATTCATCTAGTTAACTCCATCCCGAATATCCAGCGTATATCTCCTTCCCCATAAGATAACTACCCTGGACCATTCACCTCAATAGCGTCATGTCGGAATTGTCTATTTTTAGCGCTGGACTAAACCTATGATAGTGAATGGGTCCATGGAAGAGATATTAAACACTCCTTTATCGAGGATGAGGATGATTTTGTTTGTTTGTTGTTTAACATGTTTAATGCCCCACTCTGCAATATTCCAGCTATATGACTGCGGTCTGTAATTAATCGAGTCTGGACCAGACAATCCAGTAAATAATATCATGGGCATCGATCTACACAATTGGGATTGATGACATGCATCAACCAAGTCAGCGGGCCTGACCACCCAATCCCGTTAGTCGACTCTTACGACAAGCATAGTCGCCTTTTACGGCAAGCATGGGTTGCTGAAGACCTATTCTACCCCGGATCTTCATGGGTCAGGATGAGGATGAGTAAAGGTCTTGAAGGCTCCCTAGTTTAGGAGTTTGGGTATTCACATTCACATTGTAATTGTAAGCCTGAAGCTCCTGATTGATCCCCATGCATGTCAGGAATGTTTTGTTTTATCAATGAGTGTCTAAACTCACCACAACATTCATAGGCTCTCTGACCACCCACAGTAATACAAAGCAGGTGATTACCCCCAAAATGAATGGTTTTACTTTTTTCTATCAAAACAGAAAGATTCCATACTGACCCCTCTGTCTTTGTAAAGGAGGAGAAACAGCCCTTAGACAGCATCTGGTCAATCATCTTCAGCAGCGGCACGGACACTCTGGTAAACATCATGCATTATTATAAGGGTAACACTATTTTTCAGGGCATTATCATTTGCAGAAGCCCGAGGTCTTCTATTAACTGCCCGACCAAGGAGGGCGGTTGAAAAGACCGAGGGCTTCTTCCAATGATAATGCCCTAAAAAATAGTGTTACCCTTATTATAGCTAAAATGAATGGAATTTGCTATAAGATAAAAAGAAACAACAATATCAGTTTGGAAACATTTACTGCAATCAACATGAATGTCACTGACCCACTTTTACAAATATGGAAACGTCAGAGAACAAACCAGATGACGTCACTATTGAACGTGACGTCATCTTTCCCTATCCTGTGACGTCACCTAACGGGCGTGATAATGGCCCGTCGTCAAGCAATATGAGGGCACTATCAAGTTACAGTGGCCCACTCATTTCTGATAACATGCGGGCGGTTTAATGATAATTCTATCCATTTTAGCTATAATATGAATTATTTTACTTCTTAGGGGAAGTCAAAAGATTTCCATCAATTATGTGTCACCATCCATTTCATTCTCACATTTTGTGGACAAAGAGAGGGTATTTTATAGAGGTCAGTTGATGTCTTCCATCATATTGATACAATCTTAGATTAAAATTGAAAAGCGGAACTGTTTCGAGCAAGTGACTTTGCATTTAAAACTACTTTGAACAGTATTTCAGTTAAAGCACAGCATGTCAGCCTTATTGAAAGCCCACAGTAACATAAGTCCAGTATTTTTACCATTTTACTGAAACCCATGAGAATGGGACTGGTGCTGACACAGCACTCCTACACATATTCAATGTACCTGTCCACTTTCTGGAAGTCCTTGAAGATCTGCACGACAGTCTGCACAAACTTCTCCATTTGTTCGCCCTCGTAGTTGTGACCCCTCAGATAGTTGTACATGGAGCTGCTGGAGTGCTTCACCTTCAACACAGACACAGAGACACACAGTCAGCCTGACAGTGTCACAGTTGTATGACAGTATCTCCGCTGTATGACAGTGTCACAGTTGTATGACAGTGTCACAGTTGTATGACAGTGTCACAGTTGTATGACAGTGTCTCCGCTGTATGACAGTGTCACAGCTGTATGACAGTGTCACAGTTGTATGACAGTGTCTCCGCTGTATGACAGTGTCAGAGTTGTATGACAGTGTCACAGTTGTATGACAGTGTCACAGTTGTATGACAGTGTCTCCGCTGTATGACAGTGTCAGAGTTGTATGACAGTGTCACAGTTGTATGACACTGTCACAGTTGTATGACAGTGTCTCCGCTGTATGACAGTGTCACAGCTGTATGACAGTGTCACAGTTGTATGACAGTGTCTCCGCTGTATGACAGTGTCACAGTTGTATGACAGTGTCTCCGCTGTATGACAGTGTCTCCGCTGTATGACAGTGTCACAGTTGTATGACAGTGTCACAGTTGTATGACAGTGTCACAGTTGTATGACAGTGTCTCCGCTGTATGACAGTGTCAGAGTTGTATGACAGTGTCACAGTTGTATGACAGTGTCACAGTTGTATGACAGTGTCTCCGCTGTATGACAGTGTCAGAGTTGTATGACAGTGTCACAGCTGTATGACAGTGTCACAGTTGTATGACAGTGTCTCCGCTGTATGACAGTGTCACAGCTGTATGACAGTGTCACAGTTGTATGACAGTGTCTCCGCTGTATGACAGTGTCAGAGTTGTATGACAGTGTCTCCGCTGTATGACAGTGTCTCCGCTGTATGACAGTGTCACAGTTGTATGACAGTGTCACAGTTGTATGACAGTGTCACAGTTGTATGACAGTGTCTCCGCTGTATGACAGTGTCAGAGTTGTATGACAGTGTCACAGTTGTATGACAGTGTCACAGTTGTATGACAGTGTCTCCGCTGTATGACAGTGTCAGAGTTGTATGACAGTGTCACAGTTGTATGACAGTGTCACAGTTGTATGACAGTGTCTCCGCTGTATGACAGTGTCACAGCTGTATGACAGTGTCACAGTTGTATGACAGTGTCTCCGCTGTATGACAGTGTCAGAGTTGTATGACAGTGTCACAGTTGTATGACAGTGTCTCCGCTGTATGACAGTGTCAGAGTTGTATGACAGTGTCACAGTTGTATGACACTGTCACAGTTGTATGACAGTGTCTCTGCTGTATGACAGTGTCACAGCTGTATGACAGTGTCAGAGTTGTATGAAAGTGTCTCAGCTGTATGACAGTGTCACAGCTGTATGACAGTGTCAGAGTTGTATGACAGTGTCACAGTTGTATGACAGTGTCACAGCTGTATGACAGTGTCAGAGTGGTATAACAGTGTCACAGTTGTATGACAGTGTCACAGCTGTATGACAGTGTCAGAGTTGTATGACAGTGTCACAGTTGTATGACACTGTCACAGTTGTATGACAGTGTCTCCGCTGTATGACAGTGTCACAGCTGTATGACAGTGTCAGAGTTGTATGAAAGTGTCTCCGCTGTATGACAGTGTCTCCGCTGTATGACAGTGTCACAGCTGTATGACAGTGTCAGAGTTGTATGACAGTGTCACAGTTGTATGACACTGTCACAGTTGTATGACAGTGTCTCCGCTGTATGACAGTGTCACAGCTGTATGACAGTGTCAGAGTTGTATGAAAGTGTCACAGTTGTATGACAGTGTCTCAGTTGTATGACCGAGTCTCAGCTGTATGACAGTGTCACAGCTGTATGACCGAGTCTCAGTTGCATGACAGTGTCTAAGTTGTATGACACTGTCAGAGTTGTGTTGTGAGAGACAGTGTCTCAGCTTAATGTGGGAGGAATCTCCTAGGTCACATGAGCTGTGAAACCAATGATGAAAATTAGGACAAATCTTGGTTTCAAATCTCACAGCAGCAGATCCTGGCATGACTAAGAGATGCATGGCAAATTGTGGCACCTTGGCCTCCATGCTCTACACATATCCCAGAACAATAGTGAATGAGTCAATGGGTGGGTGAGTATGTTTTTACAATGCTTAAATTTAACAAGAAACCAACAGTTGTAAAGCTATTGTTGTAACTTATTATGTTTGTCATCTTGAACCACTTCTAAGATATTACAATCAGACCCAGCAAAACACTCAGTCCACCAACACTGCATTACCAGGAGCTACCAAAGACTCTGTGAGTCCACCCACGCTGACAACCATCCCCAGTAACACTGTAGCACCAGGACCTACCAAAGACTGTGAGTCCACCCACACTGACAGCCATCCCCAGTAACACACTGTAGCAACAGGACCTACCAAAGACTCTGTGAGTCCACCCACGCTGACAGCCATCCCCAGTAACACACTGTAGCAACAGGACCTACCAAAGACTCTGTGAGTCCACCCACACTAACAGCCATCCCCAGTAACACACTGCATTACCAGGACCTACCAAAGACTCTGTGAGTCCACCCACGCTGACAACCATCCCCAGTAACACACTGTAGCACCAGGACCTACCAAAGACTCTGTGAGTCCACCCACGCTGACAGCCATCCCCAGTAACACACTGTCGCACCAGGACCTACCAAAGACTGTGAGTCCACCCACGCTGACAGCCATCCCCAGTAACACACTGCATTACCAGGAGCTACCAAAGACTCTGTGAGTCCACCCACACTGACAACCATCCCCAGTAACACACTGTAGCACCAGGACCTACCAAAGACTCTGTGAGTCCACCCACGCTGACAACCATCCCCAGTAACACACTGTAGCACCAGGACCTACCAAAGACTCTGTGAGTCCACCCACGCTGACAACCATCCCCAGTAACACACTGTAGCAACAGGACCTACCAAAGACTCTGTGAGTCCGCCAACGCTGACAGCCATCCCCAGTAACACACTGTAGCGGTATTTTGGTTGGTCGAGCAGCTGTACAAATCTGGGAAATGTCTCAAAAGGGGATGCCCAGTTGACAAAACTTCCGAACCTGAATAGGAGACAGGAGACAAGCATGTGTGAATAATATAAGTTGTAGCAGTATCACTCGGAGTACATGTGGTTTTATGCATGCAGTGTAAGGTTTTATATCACTTGCCAGACACGAGTGGGATAAAACGTAACGAGGGACACATAAGTACCACATGTACCCCGAGTGATACTGCTACAACAAATGTATCTTACCGACATGTTTTAATCTGCCATGGCGAAAGAATTAAAACAAATTCAAAATCAATAGAAAACAGCTGTTCAGTTGAGCTGAGGTTAACCTATGCTATGTCATGTGACTTTCATTGACTCGGAAAAAGTGTACAGCCTTTTGCTTCGAAGCGGGATACAAGGAACTTATTCTCCTGCTGAGTAATCCATGTGCAGCCTGTCTTCTTCGTGGCGGGATATTAGGCATTTATTCTACGTCTCAGAAACATATTGCCCTCCCAAGCTGGATACATAGTATTTCATCAAGATCACATGACCCAATCAGATCTCAGCTTTCTGACATGGAGGTACGACAATATAGATTGTAAATGGAGCTCTGTACAGTAGTCTGCAATATTTTGCTTAATTTCAACCGTTTTTGCATTTCATGTAGGTCCAGTGACCAGAGGGTGTTGCTAACAACCAGTTTGTTTCTCATGACAGGTAAATTTGGGCTGGTCAGTTTATCATTTTGTTTTGCTAATCACATCAGTCCAGCACAAGCCTGACCACTCCCTCCTCAAATATAGTTGTTTCTTACAACAAACATGAGGTACTGGGAATCCCTTCTGACCCTGGAATCCGAACAGGGTTGTTAAACTACAGGCCAAATACAATCTAAATGTGAAATATACTACTCAAAGAAGTTAAAGAACACCAATTCTTTCGTATTACTATAGTTAATCTGTCATGCCATGTTCTTTAACTTGTTTTGAGTCAAACAATTTTGATAAATCTATACCTACTGACGATTTTCTTCATCTGTGAGCATTTTACCCCACACAAGCTTCATTTGATTCCCCATCTCTTTTCGATAGTCTGTATTAGCCATTCTGTACAGGAATAGAGGAATAGTTGTACATGGGAATAATTCATGCTCCTGGGCCCCGTTCCACAAAGCGATCTTAGCGCGACGATTGTCGTAAGTCAGTGTTAAAGAATGGGAGTTATGATCGACTTAGCGCTAAGATCACTTTGTGGAATGGGACCCTGGTCATCTCCTTATCATGACTCATCATAAAATCTAGCTATCTGATTGGACAGCCACAGTCGTACAAACTCGTAGAAGTAAGGACATGATGACAATATTAGACTGATGTTGCTCATCACAATTGCCTTGGAGTGCACTCTGAGGCACCAAACTCACAGTCCACTGGCAGGTAAAAGATGAAGCTAATGTGTCACAAATATATATATTACACTGAGAACAAGCAATAATATATTTGTTACTTGTGTCAACAGCTGAATGTACAGGATGTCATGAGCTGAACGTTGGGTACACTGAGTACTGCCTGAGACTGACGGACTGACGATACCACTGGTATCACAATACACCACAACAAATTGCAAAGAAGTTATGAAATCATTGAAGCACAATTCTACAACCTCTTGCTGCACCCATTTCTCAGCCTTTTGAGGACTTCTCAAATCCTAAATTTCTCCAAACTGAAGACTTGAAGCAGTGGGTGTGTCCATTCTTACCTGTTCTCCTCGTGTTCCGTCATGCTTAAAGATGACAGTGTGCTACCTTCTCTGTTGCTGTTAACAGCATATCACAACCTCACACCTCGTCTGCACTAAAGTATCGATGAAATCGTGGGTTATCAGTGAATCGCTACAGCCCTAGTGTACATTCCCCAAGCTTCAGTCTCATGAAGTAAAAGGCCAAGATTACAGCTCATAAAATCTCCTAACTCTACTATTGACACATATAACTCATGATCTCCACAATCCCTGTTCCAAGGACACTTAAATGCCAAATATGTGTGTCATCTTAAATTTACATTGAGTGAGTGAGTGAGTGAGTGAGTGAGTGAGTGAGTGAGTGAGTGAGTGAGTGAGTGAGTTAGTTAGTGAGTTGGGCTTAACTTCGCTTTGAACAGTATTCCAGTTATATCATGGCAAGTCAGCTTAATGAAACCCACGTGCACGGGTATGGTGCTAACAAACCTAGAAACAAATGGAGCGAAACGGGATTCGAACCACCAATCATAGGTTTCAGGTGTGCCCAAGGGACGCATCTCTGCACAGCGAATTGCGGCGCCTTAGACGACTGAGGTACCCGTGCTTACCAAATTTATATTTAGACATGTTATCAAAGGTGATGATGACGGAGTGTTCGCTGATTACTGCATTGTACAATTTACCTACAAAACAAGCTAATACCAGTTCAACAATAAACAAAATGAAATGTCAACATCTATAAACTTTTGCTCTCTGAGGATTACCTTTCAAAGATTGTATTCGAACCTAACGATTCAGCAGCTGCTTTGGTACATGGGCACAATGGCGCCGATCCTATTCATTTGAACTAAGGTAGAGTGAGCACTTCTTGGTAAATACTTTCTCTACTATTAGTGTAGGCGATTTACGCAAAGTTGGGACACCAGGCTTACATTCATAACTCCATAAACGCAAAAACATATTGAAGTCAAATTTACAAATCGATATGTCACTTTACCCCAATAGATATGTTGCCATATTGATTTGTTTAATGATACTATTGTCAGGGATGAGAATTGATATTTTCTTTTTCAGCTGAAAGTCTTTTTAATGGAGTGTGGTCCATAATTTGGGGGGGTTTACAGGGGGTTCATGAGAACTCAACAAATTTGTGGTCACTAAAATTCGCAGAAATTCACAGATCAACGGAAGATTCTCATCCCTGTATTGTATTCTCCCTCTCTTTCATCCTTGTGAGTGAAGAAAGTGTCTTAACACTTTTGTTTAAAAGTAATAAACAGAATCTTTCAGACACAAAACTAAATACTCATCACCAATCATGGCAATGCAATGAATTACTTACTGAAATATATTATCCAGGTTCTCTTTGTGGGGAATGTGAGGTAAGGGCGGTCTGAAAGAGAGATTGCAAATAAACAAAACCTATGTAGTCTCTGGTACAAGCTCCGACGTTCATACAGTTTGGCCCTCACTCTATGAAGGTTCATACTCCAATGAACTCACACAAAGTGAAAGTCAATTCTTAAATAGATAATTTGAAAATATTGCTTATGGACGCAACACGGAAAAAAGTACACCCTGATGGCTCAACTTGATAGTTTTTAAAGCTATCCTTTACACAAACATATTCTGACAAAGAGACAAAGAGCAAGTGAACAAGGTCGTCATCAGAAACATGACAGCTGAGTTAGTCTTGAATGAGACAAAGAGAGTCTGAACAATAGGACAAACACGTACTTGTGACACAGCAGATCGATGAAGGCGGAGCCAGCCACTGCTCTGGTTCTGTCAATCTTCTCACAGGCTTGCTGAATGAGACAGCAGAACACCCTCTCACATCTGGAAACATGGAACATATGGCTGTCAGTTTAGTATATAAAGTCTGGATATAGTTTGAATTTGTATCAAATGGTAATGAGTTAGTGAGTTGAGTTCGTTCTGAACAGTTTTCCAGTTAGATCAAAGCAAGTCAGCTTATTGTGGAAGAAAAGCCTGAAGTGATGCAGGCGTCAGACGTTTACCACTTTGGTGAATGAGCATGATGTATAGTGCTGACAAACCTGGAAACAATCAGGGCGAACCAGGATTCGAACCAACGATCATAGATTTCTGGTGTGCCCAAGGGATGCAACTCTGCACAGCAAATTGTGGCACCTTAGACCACTGGACCACCCATGCCCCCTGTGTTTGTTGTGAAACAGTGCACTCAGAAATATTCCAGCAACATGACGGAGCGGTGGGGGTGTGAGTAGTGGACTCAACCCCTAACCAGCAATGGACATGTCTTTTCACAGGGAGCTTGTCCTCTGATGCTATGTGCCTGGGGGGGGGGGGGGGGGGGCATTGATACTTACACCATGATATAAATTCAATACTGATAGAACTTGGGCTAAACCCAAATATATCCCTTACTCTAGCCCCATACAAAGCATGACAGTAGGATAACATACACATCTGGAGTGATGAGCTGTGGGTCCTCCTTGACTGACAGTGACATGAGGCCCACCAGTCCCATCATACTGGCCTCTCGCACCCTGGGGACACAAAACAACATCTACACAGCAAACTACTTAACAGCTTTTGAAGGCAGTCATCCATTTTAAGTATCTGTAGTTTCTAACATCTGTATTTACCCAGCTAGGGTTTATCCTGTACTTAAACAAAACTGTCTATATCCCATTGCAGTACCACTAGTATACACCAGGACATGCCTACCAGGATCCGACATCTCCCCTGGAGTCGAGTGTGTAGTCCTTCATGGCGGCCAGCAGGGCGTCAAACACTGTACAGATGTTGTCAGCACAGATACAGGAGCCTGGGGACCCAGTCAGGGTCACGCCCACTGTCTTCACAATGCTGAAACCAGGGAGGATCATATCATTAACTTTTATACCATAGGTTGAAATATTTCAGCATATTTCTCCATATAAAGCAGTGTGTGAGAGTGAAATCAGGCAGCAGCAGTTGCTGAAAGGCAAATACAGTGATCAGTTCCATCAGATTATAATGTTACAGGCTGTCCTTTAAGAAGTGTCACAAATCCTACCGTTCAATAGTACTTGGTCCTCTCTACAAAAAGATCTTCAAATGGACTGACATAAGTCTATATTATAATATTGTCCAGTACCCCATTATAGAACAACACCTATTTTCGAACAGCCATATTCATTGTGATTTGTCATGTCTTAAAGAGAGGTATGACGCCATATTTCATATTTTGTGAATAGGTTTCAAAGTTTCAAAAACGTTCTGAGTTTTAACAATGACCTGCCAGAATTGTGTTAAGGACTGTGCGCCAACATGGCTGTTCATTTATGGAAAGTCTGCTAAAGTACCAAACCAATCAGGTGTTCAGAAATAATTCACTCGAGTGCAACGGAAGTTTACAGACAAGGCAATGGAGGACATGGCTCTTATCGAGGATTTTTTTCTTTCGGAATGAATGTGAATTCTATTGTTGAAAACATCACCTACTGGTATGAAGCAGAATTTGAGTTTTGATTCACTCATCCATCGACGTATCAGCAATGCCATCTTAACTGTTTGAATAGGGTACGTTAGGATACATAAACCATCTATTCACAGTATGCTCAGTGTCCAGTGTCTAACTGAAGCATATTGCACAAGGACATAAGGGTAGATAACTCGACAACACTAAAAATAGCACAATTATGGCCTCTTTTGGGGGTGAAAGCGCTTATGAAATGAGAGCTTGATAGTACCCATAGTAGACTGTGCCAAAAACTTCAGAGTCTGCCAGACCCAATTTGTCTCTTGGCATAATTATCAGCAGATTGTAGTATCAATGTATGGACCTTTATCAGGAATGTACAAAACTAAACAAATTATACAGACTCTGACTTGGGATTAGTGGCTAAAGTTGCATGCTGCTGTCGTGTCACTGACCTAGTGATGGCCTTCACTGCATCTCTGCGCGCCTCGGCCATGTGGACCGACTTCTCCTTGATGGTGGACGCATGCACCAACCCCATGAGGACTTCCATCAGCTTCCCCTCCAACATGAACTGGGGGAAGCCCCCTAGTGCTAGACTGTGTCCCATCCTGCAAACACAAGCCACTTGTACTTCCGCAGTGTCAGCTGACATGCACAAATAACTCATTTCATGTCGCCCATCTATAAAGGCATAGCTGTCTTCTGAAATCTGTTCACTATAACAGTTTTCTATCACATTAAAATCAGATATTAGTTCTCGCTACTGCTAAATAAAACCTGACTACATCCATTACGAACAAGTCAGAAAGATCATTCATCAACCCAATCAGAGCATCGCTTACCGGGTCCGGAAAGTGACAGTCAGAATGTGTTTCTAATCATGTAACCTCAAAGAGGTTAACACAAGAGTCATCAGGAGAAGACATATCCCCCCGGTCTGGTGCAATTCGGAAATGGAGTTTGGCTACTAATACCCCACTATTGCTTCACTGACATTGAAAAGAAAATAGAGCTGTTCAGTATTTTTCCAAATCCCAAATCAGCAAAAGGCACCTATTCACCACTAGACTGATCTATGGAGAAAGTTTCAACAAGAAATATTTAACGGTTTTGAAATTCTGCTCCGGAAATTAAGTCCAATTTGATTCCATGGCTACAGGATCTCTTTGATATATCTCCCAAAACTGTTGAAAGATATTGAACATTTCTTAAGTTGTACTCTGGGATCGAAATCTACCCCCTTATGAGACTAAGGACAGATTGTTTACACGGAAATCGAGAAAAGCAAAACTGTCAAAAATCTGTAAATAGTGAGTGAGTGAGTGAGTAAATAGCAAAAGGCACCACTTCAGGATCTGTTTGATATATTTGGCCATTTTTGTTGAAAAATATTGAACGTTTTCGAGTTGTGCTCCGGTAATGAAATGATTACGGATGGACAGATAGAAGAGGCATCGAAAATATCCCCCCGCATTGTGTGCCAGAGGCAGAACAATGTATTCCGAACGACACTTACGGGTTGTACATCTGATTGCATCAAAATCAAATTTTTTAATCATGAACTCTGTCAAAATATTTTTCAAAGCATAGTCTGCAATTGAAGTCACCAGTTTTAAACTACTGCAATCAAGCTTGAGAAAGCTGCTTTCTGATTGGCTAATATTGACCTCCAGTGTTTTGTGGTAGCAGGCACTAAGATATAATTTTAATGAGATTGTAACAGTTTTAGGTAGCTTTCATTGTGGACTTAAAAAAAGAAGAAATAAACTAGGTTTTTTGACTACCTGGATATTTCAATTGATGATTTCAGCTCTTTCAAGTACTTCTCCACAACAGCATCTGAAAATATCATATATTTTGCTTCATAGATGGCAGTGGAATGGAAAGACAGAAGATTATTGCAGAAGCTCTGTTGACCTTTGATCATTGCAGCTAGTTAGGAATGGTATGTCAAAACATTCCAAAAGACAATTAGCTGAGCTGAGGTTATTGCTGGTTTGAACAGTATTTCAGTTATACCACAGCATGTCAGCTTAATATGTGTCACATACAGATAAACACTGCTTGTCTGGAAACCCTGCTTTCCTGAGATTGCTGTTGGACATGTGTACCTATACACAAGGGAAACTACTCCATATCAAGGATTTGCTGACCTGAAAAATTGTTAATCTGGACAATTTCCCTGGGAACAATATAGTCTGGCTAAACAAGGTTTTATTGTAACAATTCTGGGGACAGACATCACAATAACTCAGACCAGTACTCAAAGACTTCAATTTAGGTACCTCACAACTTTCACGAAATAAAAGCACAAAGTCACATTATAAGATGATGCAAACCCCAAATTCAGGGAATTTAGAAATATCTGGCAGAATTGAGATCTGAAATTAGTACTAAACTTTCGAAAATAATCAGTACTTGCATCAGCATCATGTGATTTTGTCTTACAAAATCGTAATAGATTTCACTTCAACATATAATCCACTGAATACATCTGCATTCCATTATGATAAAAGTATAAACCCAGGACCAATTTGCCACAAAGCTTTGTTTTGGATGGGATGTCACTTCTCAGACTCTCTTATCACTAACTTAGCAAGACTTTTTCTCACTCATGAATGTAAGTGAGTGAGTTAGTGAGTATGGTTTTACGCCGCTTTAAGTAATATTCCAGCAATATCACGGCGGGGGACACCAGAAATGGGCTTCACACATTGTACCCATGTCGGGAATCGAACCCGGGTCTTCGATGTGAGGAGTGAACGCTTTAACCACTAGGCTACCCGACCGCCCCCATGAATGTAATGAGATCAGACAGATATCATTACCATCATATCAACTGAACTGGATCTCAAAATGAAGTTTTTTCAGAGAATGGGAGCAAAGTATTTATCATAATTGAATAGAGATATTCTATTTGATTAATTGTCAGGATTGTCGACCACATCATAATTTTTCTGGCAAAATCCTACTGGATGGCATCTCTGCCTACCTCGTCTCTTGGTGTCAAGCTTGCCTTCAGCATCTCGGCAGTACTCCGTGTAAAAAGCTGGGGCTGCCTCAATGGAAGCTTGCTGTGAGAGTACACAAACATGCACACATGAAAATCTCATCTCTCCCTAAATCAATAAATACTTAATAACACAAAAAGTATTCATCATCAATTATTCTAAATATATAAATATTAATTTTCAGCAAATATGAGTCATGTATTCCTTAACTGACCTGGATTTCAGGCTCGACGTGAAAGAGACAGTCGTCTAGGATTTCTTGCCATATATCTGGAAAGAGACAAACGTCATCGATATTCCTCTGCCACTGTGCAGACTCATTGTAAATCTCAAACAGGGAAATACCATGTCAAACAATTAATCCAGACAGTTTCACTGGAAATAGTACCATCCATATTAATGTGGTCTCACTGTAGATTATAGGCATGGAACCAGTAAGTTTGATGCATTATAATGACTACTCTCATATCTTCAGACTGAAGTGTTTGTGGTATACCCTGAATTATAATCTTGACATACATAAACATAAAAAAGATAGAGAAGGGTAACAGTACCGATTATTGGTTCTCCGTGATATGGCATCTTGGATTCTGAGAGCTTCTGGATGAGATGGCAGACTGCGCAACAATGCACGGTGTGAGAAATAGCCAATAAAACAGTACATTTCACAATATATTTCTTTATCATTTTCATTACAAGTTATGTCACTGTTTTACCTTTCCTTCTCAGGTAACAACTTTTGAAAAATTGTGGTGTGCACTTTACTGAAAGCCGCACTCAGCAGTATTCCAGTTATTTGATGTTGATTACTACATAACCAAGTCTGGACCAGACAATTCAGTGATTGACATCATGAGCATCGATCCATGCAATTGGAATACGATGACATGCATCAACCAAGTCAGCAAGCAAACCATCCAATCGCGATAGTTGCCTCTTACGACAAGCTTAGTTTGCCTCTTACGGCAAGCATCCATGTTATTACACTGCCGCACGAATTTCGTTATTAAGGCTTTACTTCATTCATTTATCTGACATGTTACTATGGTAACTGACCTGCTTTCCTCATGAGTTCACCTCCCAGACCCCGGAACAGTTGGGAATCTTGCAGCTGGAAATACCGAAATACAATCCACTCTCAATCAGTTCAATAGACCAAGCAGAGAGTGTCAGTCCAGAAATCTACTTATTCAACTTCTGTGATTCCTACCTCATATTCACATAACATGCCATATAAACACATAGATACAAAGCCATAGGGAACATATAGGTGTTTAATAACTGCCTATGCCATTGAACTGATCAATCAATACATTATTCATGAATTAATATATATTGTATATCGTTGAAAATCTGATGTCAGAGGCCGTGAACAGCAATTTATTCTGCATAGGTAAATGGTCAATGTGGTTACTAAAAGTAGTTCAGGAGACCCCGCAAAATGTAGGATTCCTGAAATGTCTCCTTAAACAATTCCATGGATGTCTGCTGGCAAGCATTCGAATCACTCTGAAATTTCTAACCCAAGCTATCGTAAGCGAGTGAGTTTGGTTTTACGACGCTTTTGGCAATATTCCAGCAATATCAAGGCGGGGGACACCTGAAATGGCCTTCACACATTGTACCCATGTCGGGAATTGAACTCAGCTCTTCGGCGTGATGAGCGAACGCTTTAACCACGAGGCACACTGACATATAGAAATAATGATATTTTCTGATAGATGGATGTTTTATCAATATGTGGTTACAATATGTAAAAAAGTTAAATACTATTAATTATACTTCTATGCCACACTGTTACCATGGTTAGTAAGGATTTTAGAAATAGATATCCTAAAAAGTTCAATACTCTGAATAGATCAGTGGATATTCTTAACATCCTTTATAGAAAACAGCTGATGAAGAGACCAAGTGACAACAACCATACCTTTTTGGCGATACTACGCAGGCCTTCTGTAGATGCTGCATCTATCAAGTCTGATACACACCTGTGAAACAAGCCACACGTCCAATGTCAATACTCAAACCAAAGAGTATATAAATACAGCTATATCACGAACAGGCTACATGTACAGAGATGGTGAGGTGGGGTGAAATGAAGTTTAACGTGAGAGGCTTTTATTGGACACAAAAAATAAAATAGAATGATTTGCACTGTGGGTCCCAAGGGATGTAAAACAGCATGGCTGTTGGAATTATTGAAATATATTCAGCTGCTACCATGGTAGCATGTACCTGTACATAAATTTTAAGTCTACATCTGATTTGCTTCTCTGAATCCACCCGTTCCCATGTCTGGAACCCTAAATAGCATGACTGAAAGAACAGCCCAAGTAAATCCAGTTTACCAACAATAGTGATGCTCTTCATTTTCAGAGTGAGTGTATATGGTTTTACGTCGCTTTTAGCAATATTCCCGAAATATCACGGCGGGGGACACCAGAAATGGGCTTCACACATTGTACCCATCATTTTCAGAGTAAAAATATAATGACTAGAGCAGTTATTATTGACTTGAACGGTAAACCCCCTGAAAGCTGATTTTGTCAGATGGAAACAAGGAAACCTGTTCACCCCCATTCCCACCCTACCGTCAGACTTCAGGAATTAGGATTTTTATCTGACATCAAACTTTTGCACTGCTCCCTTACCCAACAGCCAAGATCAATAGATGAGTGAGTGAGTGAGTTTGGTTTAACGCCACTTTTAACAGTATTCCAGTCATATCGCAGCGTTTCAGCTTAATGTGGGAGGAAAACCCAAAGTGATGCAGGTCTCAGACGTTTACCACTTCGGTGAAACCCACGAGCACGGGTATGGTGCTGACAAACCTAAAAACATAATCGGGGCGAACCGGGATTCGAACCCACAGTCATAGGTTTCTGGCATGCCAAAGGGACGCAACTCTGCACAGGTAATCATGGCGCCTTAGACGACTGGGCCAGCCGTTCTCCCAGATCAATAGATGAAGGAAACTGAATGGTCTGACATGGATGATAACAATGTGTAAAAGTTTTGTTTGTTTATTGTTTAACGTCCACTCAGCAATATTTCAGCTATATGATGGTGACATGTAAATCCAGTGATTGATATGGTGAAGAATAATCCACACAGTTGGGGTATGATGACATGCTATCAACCAAGTCACCAAGTTTGACCCTGATCAGACTGGTCGCCTCTTACGACAGCAAATGCTGGAAATTGTAGATCCCAATATCACTTACAATGAACACTGTCTTGTGGAAGAGTTCAACATGTTTAACTGATGTGTGTGTTGCCTGACAACCACGATATGTCACTGAAGGCTAGGTAGGGACACAACAAAAGAAAACACTCACTTCCCCTGTGTTTGTGCAATCTTTGAAAGGGCATGCGCCACTTCCGCTGCAGCCAGGATGGCTCCATGTCTTTGATGTAAATCTATTCCAGTTGCATTCTCTATCAAGGCAGGTAGAACTGAAGAGAGAACATTACTATTACGTGACTGTTTCACATTCTACTACACATACAAGTCACATCTCTTCACATATGATATACCGTATATGATGTAATAAGCGCCCAGGGCGCTCTCAAAATTAGGAATGGGGGGGGCTCTTATTAGAATATTATTTTGGTGGAAACAAACAGAGTTGAAAGATAAATTTTGTGGTTTAAGCTGACAACCTGAAATGTTTATGTACGACAGATATATTTTTCCAGAATTAAATTGCCCATAATTAAGGGTGCATATAACACACTAGTGTGTATCATACGCAAATGAATAAGTCTTGTGTACATTGATCAGTTGGAAGGGGTGCTAATTGGGATTGTTCACTTGCCAATATATCAACAAATATCGCCCTGGGCGCTTTTTGGAGCGGGGCGCTTATTACGTCGAATACGGTACATGTAGATGTTCAGACATCTGGCAATCAAACACACTGACCTGTCTTGGCCACATACTCTGGTTCTTTTGCTGTGAGGTTGTGTAAGGATTTGGACGCCAGCTCTCGTATAGCACTGAAAAACACCAACACAAAAGTCGTACAGACGTACAGTCCAATGACAGGCTAAACAAACATGATGATCTTGTACTTGAGTATAAACCATTGACCACATGGTGGCTGACAGCATAGAGACGTACAGTCCAACGACAGGATAAACAAACATGATGATCTTGTACTTGAGTATAAACCATTGACCACATGGTGGCTGACAGCATAGAGACGTACAGTCCAACGACAGGCTAAACAAACATGATGAGCAATAACATGATGATCTTGTACTTGAGTATAAACCATTGACCACATGGTGGCTGACAGCATAGAGATGAACAGTCCAATGACAGGCTAAACAAACATGATGAGCAATAACATGATGATCTTGTACTTGAGTATAAACCATTGACCACATGGTGGCTGACAGCATAGAGATGTACAGTCCAATGACAGGCTAAACAAACATGATGATCTTGTACTTGAGTATAAACCATTGACCACATGGTGGCTGACAGCATAGAGACGTACAGTCCAACGACAGGCTAAACAAACATGATGATCTTGTACTTGAGTATAAACCATTGACCACATGGTGGCTGACAGCATAGAGACGTACAGTCCAACGACAGGCTAAACAAACATGATGAGCAATAACATGATGATCTTGTACTTGAGTATAAACCATTGACCACATGGTGGCTGACAGCATAGAGATGAACAGTCCAATGACAGGCTAAACAAACATGATGAGCAATAACATGATGATCTTGTACTTGAGTATAAACCATTGACCACATGGTGGCTGACAGCATAGAGATGTACAGTCCAATGACAGGCTAAACAAACATGATGATCTTGTACTTGAGTATAAACCATTGACCACATGGTGGCTGACAGCATAGAGATGTACAGTCCAATGACAGGCTAAACAAACATGATGATCTTGTACTAAGTATAAACCATTGACCACATGGTGGCTGACAGCATAGAGACGTACAGTCCAATGACAGGCTAAACAAACATGATGATCTTGTACTTGAGTATAAACCATTGACCACATGGTGGCTGACAGCATAGAGACGTACAGTCCAATGACAGGCTAAACAAACATGATGAGCAATAACATGATGATCTTGTACTTGAGTATAAACCATTGACCACATGGTGGCTGACAGCATGGACATGAGTCTGCCTTGTTTGTATACATGTCCAGTACTCATTATCTCAACATATGTAACAACAATTTCCTATCTCAAATATAATTTTAGAATTGAAATTGTTAGTGTTTACTTGTCCCAGTGTGCAGACTTGACTTGAGCCAGGTGGTCTATCATTGATTTGCTGTACTCCTTGAACTGTGCAATGTACACGCTGGGGGAAAGAAAAAATGTACTTAGTAAAGTGAAAAAATATCATTTATACATATCCTGACTCATACTAATTGCTTATCTCTTCTTATCCCACCATCCGCTTGGAATATCATTTCTGACATTTGCGGTGCATGGTCATGTGCATGGACGGATTATTTCTTTCTGTTTTTCACCCCCATTTTCTAAAACTGAAATATTGAATCTGCATATCTAAATTCATAATGACTTTACAAATGAAAAATCAGACCCGATCTTTATTCTTTGACATTGCAACAATAATATCTGTACAACCCATAACAGAGTCTTGTTATCAAGGCTGATTCCAAGATGTCCTTGCATTGGGACACTTTAATACGTGTATTCACAATACTTTTCTACTTCAATCACATAAACTGTAATGGGAGTGTCCACTACTTGTCCCCAGTCAAGGCTAATCAATGTCACGTTTCAGATTTAGTTCAGGAACTCGTAAAAACACTATTGTCACTTTTAAATGTTTGACAACAGCAAGGTATTAACAATGAAACCTCATCAAGCCGACATGGTATCCTTCCCAGTGAAACAGTCTGGACTAAGGAATGATGGGTACAGAGCAAACTTTCTTCAGTCATACAGTGAAACCACATTAATCTGGACAGGTGCTGTTTCCGGAGAAGTCGTCCTGATGCAAATGGACATTAACAATGAATACAGCGTCCAGACTAATAGTGTTTGACTGTACATAGATATCGTCATCGAGACCATCTTGGAGGTGTGGCTTCCAGACTAACAGGGTCCAGACTAATAGTGTTTGACTGTACATAGATATCGTCATCGAGACCATCTTGGAGGTGGGGCTTCCAGACTAACAGGGTCCAGACTAATAGGGTTGACTGTACATGTTTATAGGGTATTGTCATCAAGCCCACCTGCAGGTAAGGCTTCCAGACTAACAGGGTCCAGACTAATAGGGTTGACTGTACATGTATATAGGGTATTGTATCAAGCCCACTTGGCAGGTAAGGCTTCCAGACTAACAGGGTCCAGAATGATGATGTTTCATTGATCCTTCATACCTGAGTTCTTGGTAGCAGTAGGTTCTCATGCCAACAGTAAAGTAGTCAGCGGCTGTCAGGATGTCAATACCATGGGGAAATGTGCCCTGCAATACACATTGTAGCGAGTGACACACCTCATAATGATATCACTTATCACTCTGTGTCAACTAAATCAGTGGAAAACCCAAGCCCAGACGATCTTTACCGTGATCAGCAAATCTGAGTATGACTAACTGAGGCATCTCCCACCAGTGTTTCAATGTTATTTATCAGTTGTGTTACGGACTAATGATATGGTAAATTTGTAGAATTTTCCAATTCGGAATATTCTATAAGTAATACGTTACCACTGTTATACCGAGGCTGTTGTCTCCCACAACTCTTGCTATAGCGAAATCTACCACAGAGTTCTCAATTACCTCATGCAGCACGTGCGTAGCCACCCAGCTGCCATGTGACACCCTTCACTCTTGTCTCTTGCGAGAGCAAATGCTCAGGGGACGGACAGGCGGGCAGCAGCCCAGTGGTAATGTATTACTTATAGAATATTCCGAATAGGAAAATTCACTGTTATACCGAGGCTGACTACCACAGTAGGCGGTGGGGAGCACCTACAACCCGAAACCTGACTGCTCGTGTTCCTTCCGACCAGCTGGAGTAAACAACAAGGCAGAAGCACTCGATGCACATGCTCCTAGCTAGGCGTTACCCTATAGGAATACCGAAGCACTATCAAGCGCATACCGTTAGGCTCAATCGTCATTGCCAAACCATTGGTGACTCCAAACGGCCCCACTGGATAGGTATTTCATCCCCGCAGCGGATGAGAACACAGTATCCGTGTGAGCTAAATCTTGGATCAGGTTAAACAGTCGAAAAGAGGGAAATTAATTTCATTCAGACCGTGTATCCCCGAGCAAGCCTACTTAAAGTATGCATTAGGCGCATGACCTAATTCCAGTATTCGTAAGCATGTATCACAAGGTTGGAATACACGACGGACAATTAAATACATAATCGTCAAAATACAAATGAGGACAAAACACACCAAAAGCCGCCTCACCTGTGATGTGAGTGCGCTGGTTTGCGGGACCCCCACTCGTGTACCCACGGCGGTGGGAACATTGGAGATGACCCAGATTGACCACCGTGCAAGGTCTGACGCCTGTGGAGTTCGGAACTGCGCTGGACACGCCCCTTAGATGACCGCTTGTGCCGTGATCAGCGGCCCAGGACGGTGCACCCCCTCCACATCTTCATCAGAAACCTTTCTGAGGTAATGATTGGCAAAAGCCGAGTCAAAACGCCAGTAACAACCTCCTAATATTCTGAAACAGAGATATTCGAGTGTAGGGCAAATGTTGCCGCTAGCCGGGACTGGTGATACAAACAACGGGAGTTGATTGTTGAACCTGGTTGCGAACAGGTCGACCATCGGACGACCCAAACGTTCGCACAGCCAGTGAAACACTACTGGGTTAAGCATCCACTCCGTGGGGCTCGGATCCCGAGGCCTCGATAGAGCGTCGGCCAGTACGTTCTGCACACCTGGAATGTGACGGGCGTGTACCTGGCACGGGACACTGTCCACCAGAGCGTAAAACTCGAACGTGAGATCGAGTAGCCAGTGACTGTGGGTTCCCCCCAGTTTGTTCACATAGGACACTACCGTCGTGTTGTCAGTCGCCAGCATGAGCCGGGCGTCGACGAGACGATGCTTCCAGTGATTGACTGCGTTGATCACTGCCTTGCACTCAAGACAATTGATGTGAAGACCTAGTTCGTCTACGCACCACAGCCCCGAGCTCACCTCCCCCTCTAGATGGGCGCCTCAGCCCACTAAAGAGGCGTCTGTATACAGGTTCAACGTGGCCCGGTAGGGCCGCATAGAGACTCCTGATAAGACGTTGTAAGGGACCGCCCACCACTCCAGATGCGGTCGTGGATTCCCCGCAGTACCAGCAGGGGCTTGGGCATGTCCTCAAAGAGGTCATAAACCGTGGCCACGCGGTCCTTAACCGATAGCGGGAACAACAGTTCGGGGGAAGGACCGGTGACCACGGGAGCCGCCGCAGTACTGATGGACCCCGCGTCTGAACCCGCGGCCACCGAAGAGGCCCGGGACGGAACAGCCAGCGGCCTATCCTGAGATAAGGCCGCGAGCTTGGAGTCCACAAGTTTAGAAAGCAATGCAGCGACGGAATCCCCGGACAGCCCGAGGGCCGCCAAGGGATCCGCTGCAGCTGTGGAGGTGGTCCCCGCAAGGGGACCCCAACCGGACGAACCGGCCACCACAGGGGGGGAAACGGACTGCACATACAGCCGGTAGCGCTCGAATGCCGCAGGCCCAAGACCGTCGCACAGGACGCACCGGGTGTCCCCGCAAGGAACCCTGCACCGCGGGCAACGATCATGGGGATCCTGTGACGATAAGAACTTGCGGCACACCCCGCAACTCCGGGTTGCAGGGGTAGAGGGGGTGGATAATGGCGACACATCCATGTCAGACATTTTGGTACTATGAACAAAAAGCAAAACATGGTTACAACACATGCACCACAAATATTCACAAACGAGTATTTTCACAAGAAAAATAAACCAGCAATGTGAATATAGAACATACACATATAACATATAGAGAAATAAGTGATGAACTCCCAAAGCATACTAGAACAGGGGAACGTAAGACACAACGTGCATACGAGAACCCCGCAAGTATATAGAAAAAAGGGCGGGAAAATTATATCCAAGCGTAGCTACCGCAAACGCCCCGTAAAAGCAGTTTATTAGTGAGAACAAACCATAATAAATATCACCGAATGGTCGAGGAAACAGGAACGCTTCAGCAGTCTTAAGAAACACGTCTTGCTAGAGCAAGCGAAGGAGACAAGAGTGAAGGGTGGCTACGCACGTGCTGCATGAGGTCATTGAGATCGGTGGTATATTTCGCTATAGCAAGAGTTGTGGGAGACAACAGCCTCGGTATAACAGTGGTAAGGTATTACTTAATGTAATGTTACCATGCATTATTAGAGAAAAGAATTATTAAAATGTATATCTATAACAGCAGGTTTGAAATGTTGCAAATTCAAGGTCTTTTCAAGACAGGTTATTGATATTTAATAACTTTTCATGGCAGTTTAAAAATTACCACCTTTTCTGGATTTTACGGCCAAATGCAAGCCTGTGTGACAAACAACACAACAGTCATCAGAAGATGACAAATGCCCCCTGCCCCAACAATAGCAAAAACCACTTCAGCCCCTGGTTAATACATGTACCAAGTTTGGATGAAAATTCGTTCACTGTTTTCAAGTTATGCTCCAGAAACAAAATACAGACTGACAAACGGGCAGACAGACAGACAGACCAGATGATGAGTATATCCCCCTGCGTTATATGCTGGGGAGATAAAGATGTAATCTAATCCACAAACACTCCACCAACCTGACGTCCGACATTTTCCTGGAACGCAGCGGATGCTGCTCTTCGGACATTAACCTCCCGGTCAAACACAGACGCCACCAACAAACCACTGGAAGAAAGCTTACACATATTAAGAAACAGCTTTGAAGACTGTAAGTGCCAATAACCGTTTGTTTGTTTGTTTGTTTGTTTGCTGTTTAACATCGCACTCAGCAATATTCCAGTTAAATGACTGTGGTCTGTAAATATACGAGTCTGGCCCAGGCAATCCAATGGCATCATGAGCATCGATCTACACAATTGGGATACGATGACATGCATAAACCAAGTTAGCGAGTCTGACCACCAGATCCCGTTAGTCGCTTCTTACAAGCATAGTCGCCTCTTATGAAAGTATTGACTAACACACAGTCCAGAGGGAATGAGTTGGTTCAACCACACTAAGGACGGTACTCCACGTATTCCAGTTATGTCACAGTGTGTCAACAAATGTGGCGGGAGAGGCCAATAGACGCAGGTTGTAGATGGTTACCACTCTTGTAAAAACTTTGCCTTACTTGTTTGTTGTTTTATGCCACGCTCAGAAATATTATATATATATATATATATATATATATATATATATATATATATATATATATATATATATATATATATATATATATATATAAGCAAACTGTAAATGGAACCAAGTCTGGACCACACAATCCAGTGATCGCTTTAGTGACTAATGAATCATGCTGTTGAGGTCCAATGACACAGACGCAACCAAGTCACCGTCCAATCCATTTGGTCACCTGTTATCATCAGCATAGTTGCTGGGAACCTGTTCTAACCTGGAATCCCCAAGGGTTAAAAGCCTTGGTAATAAGGCTTGGTATGGTGCTGACAGACCAAGGATGATAATAAGGTCAAAATTGGATTTTAATAAAGCAAAGGTCTTACATCATCGTCACTCTCTACCTCACTGACATATAAAATATATTTGAAAATGATTCTTACTTTGCTATTTTGTTGACATATGGACTGATTTCCTTAGGATCGTAAGCCCTAGCGAATGCCCAGTTGACATAGCAGGCAGCATCACGAACATGTGCTCCCACCGAGAAGTTCCCACGCCGCTCATCATAGGCTAGAGCTCTCAGCACAACAGGTACCACTGAAAATGAGGTAGTAAATGTAGTTACTGTGGTATTCAAGTCCTCATTCTCTAATTCCGTCAAGAAAAGCAAATATAACCAAGAATGGCAGAAATGTTCTAAGCCTAACAAACAAATCCACCAATTGTGAAAGTGTTTTTAATTATTATTTTCAACATTATCCCCATTCTTTTCAATACATTTCTCATATCAACAGTGTAGCTTTTCAATTCCAGTCAGGAACATGTTTTCTGAGGCCACCCTGAAAATCCCATTCACGGCAGCTTTGAGGTCATTGTTGTCATCATAGCGCTTTCCAGAAGGTGTTCTTTCAGTTTAGGAAACCGGTGGAAATCACTTGGTGCCAGGTCTGGCAAATATGGAGAGTGATGAAGCTCTTCGAACCCACATTGTCACGTAGCAGCCTTTGCAAGTCGTGAGGTGTGAGAAGAGGCATTGTCATGAAGGTGTAAAACTCCAGCAGTCAGCATTCCTCGACGCTTTTCTTTGATAGAATCTCTCAGGCAATAAAGCAAATCAGCATAGTAGGCGCTGGTAATCATCTTTTGACTTTCTAAGTATTCAACATGGATCACACCCTTTCTTAACTGATCTTGAAGATTTGAATTTCTTTGGTGCCGGAGAAATGGAATGGTGCCATTCCATGGATTGACATTTTGACTCGAATCATAGTTGTAGACCCATGTTTCATCACTCGTTACTGATCTCTTTTTGAATTTGACGAAATCCTCCTCAATTAGCTCTAAATTTTCTCTGGCAATGTCAGTTCTTTTTTGCTTAAGATCAGAATTCAGAAACTGTGGCACCAAACGAGCAGATATCCTATTCATCTATAAATGTTCGTGAATAATAGTTTCATTAGATCCATGGCTTAGACATGTGTCTTCCTCAAGTTCAGCAATGGTAATACGTCTATCTGACAGTATAAGTTTTTCTATCGCCTTGATTGAATCTTCATTGATGGAAGAGACCTAGGGTCATCATCAAGGCTTGTTCTCCCAGCCTTAAATATAGCTGCCCAATGTTTAACAGTGGAATAGCTAGGGCACTTATCCCCATACACTTGTGGCATGCTATCATGAATTTCTTCGGGAGTACTTTTCTCTGAAGTAAAACATTTGATGACTGCTTGGTATTTGTTCTTTACCATTTCTGTGTCCATTTGAACTCCTATCACATTCAACTGGTTGTCACTAATATAGAAACAGCCTCAACAGATCAAATACACTTGCACTGAACTACTCAAACAATGTACTACATTGACTAGTTCACTTTGTTATTGCTCATAGTTGAAAGTTAGTCAGGCTTAAAGCTTTTTGACCAGCCCTCGTATGTATCAGATGCAGAAATGTGCTACCATGTTTTCCCACTGCACTAATACTAGCAGTGCTGAGTGTGTTTACTGACCGTCAGGGAGTCTCTGGGGCACCAGGAGCCCTCTCCGCCCCAACTCAGCCAGTGCCAAACAACCTGAAACACAGTCACAGCAGAGTGTTGATGTAGCCACCCTCATATGTCCATTCTGTTAACATGCAGAGTACTTTGATCCTTGCAAATACAGTCAAACACTGTAGTCTCAAGCTCTTGGGGACCAGATGTACAGTTTGACATATCCGGGGTTTCGACACAATCGATCCGATCTTACTACACTCAACCTTGCCATCATACAACATTTCAAACATAACACACTGTACATGTTCGGTAAATAACATTAAAATAGAAAATGAGGCATTTGTTATATCTACATTTATGCATATATGTGCATTTTTTTTAAATTATACAAACATAGGTTGTGATTTACAAACATTTTGAGTTTGATTTATGAGGTAAGTTCAAAGTTATCTTAAACTCTTTGGACAATATACTGAGTTATAGACAACCGGGAATTTGACTATTCGACACATCCAGGTTAAAATAATGTTGAATATAGTAAGTGTTTGCTGGGAGCGGATTGTGAGTTCAACACAAGCAGGGATTTGACACATCCGCGTTCAAGACAACGGTGTTAGACTGCACAAGAAAAAATGAATCAACAACTCAATAACAAAATGGACATAGTTATGATTTGAGGACAATGGAGTGTTTGAAAAATAGGTGAAAGTTAAAAGGGCCATCAAATCTCCATAAAGACAAAACAAGAGTCATAAGATGCTATTAACCATACCACTGGCAATATGTGATGGTCCTCTGACACAGTCCCCCTACTTCATTTCTCCCACCGCTATAAATAATGTTGAAAATTAGGAGAAAAAAATTGTAAGTATTTCCATGTGAGTGCTTTGTAATCAGCACATAGTTTTCATAGTTTCAGTATATAACTTGTCACCCACGACAAAGACTTGCTGAGAAACTGTACATAAAATATCCCACAAAAAAAAGAAGAAGAATTTTTTTTAAAGTAAAAATGTTATATATACCTATCCTGACTCATACTAATTTGCTTATCTCTTATTCCCGAAAGGTAGTGGAAACTTCCTGTGCTGTATTCCCGGAACAGAAAACATCTCACCCAAACACACCCCTCTCAAGTGCAGGTGCACTGGGACCATGTGACCAGCCAGTCTGACTCATCACTCTCTTATTTTTGTGCAAGCTAGCTGGTTGAAAATGTTCTTTCTGTGCTAATAATTAGAAACATCCTTATCAAAATTGCCTTCCTTGATTAGGTTTTTTGTTCGGATTATCTTTTTAAGACATTCCCTCATCCAACGATTATTTTATTATTTTGGCAGAAGATTTTTCCTTTTTGCCTTCTTTGAAATTCTTCCTGTTTTTATTATAAAAACATGTACTATGTGTAGGTTACATATCTCCCTGATCCCGATAATATTTTCTGGCGTTCATGACATTTCAATTTGACAAATGAAAAGATAGAGGTCTCAGGCTAATCATCAGCAAAGACTACTGGTTCTCCATGGTTCTCCATGGCGGCCCTACCTCCATGCCAGGCTCCATCCGTTTCCTGCAGACTGAACAGCTCCAACACAGATCCCACCACCTCATCAGCAAGCTCCTTCGGTAAACGCCCTGTCACTCGCCCAATACTAGAAATGCAAAAAAAGATTTGCAGGACAATAACATTTTCATCCAGGCTTAAAAATTCTAAAAGGTTTATTGGACCAAGAAGAAATTAAAGATCACCTTTAAAGTAGGCTGCAATAAAAAATGTTCCATTCAGCATGATTCTATAAATTAATTTGTCCCTTTCAAACCAACAAAAATCATACAACTCAACTGGGGTGTGAGTTGTGTTACTGCTGTCATGCCATGAGTGAGTGAGTGAGTTGGGTTTAACGCCGCTTTTAACAGTATTCTAGTTACATCACGGTGTGTCAGCTTAATGTGTGAGGAAAGCCCGAAGTGATGCAGGTCTCAGATGTTTACCACTTCGGTGAAACCCACGAGCACTGATATGGTGCTGACAAACCTAGAAACATAATCGGGGCGAACCGAGATTCGAACCCACAATCATAGGTTTCTGGCGTGCCCAAGGGACGCAACTCCGCACAGCGAATCACGGCGCCTTAGACTGGGCCAACCATGCCCCCTGTCATGCCATGACAGAACAACTATAGCAATATGATAGAATCAGGTGTCCTTAACTTCTTTTGAGAAGCATATGATAACTGTTAACATTATTATCACATAATTATACAGAGGAAATGTTCTCCATATATTTAGAAATGTGATTTAATAAAAATGAACCAATTAAGATTTCTTTATCAATATGTCATTAGGAATAATTCCATGCGTTACTGAGTGTTTAGTAAATGGTTGGTTGGTTGGTTTGTTGTTTAACGCTGCACTCAGCAATATTCCAGCTATATGACGGCGGTCTGTAAAATAATCGAGTCTAGACCAGACAATCCAGTGATTGACATCATGAGCATCGATCCACGGAATTGGGATCGATGACATGTATTAACAAAGTCAGCTAGCCTGACCACCCGATCCCGTTAGTCGCCTTTTATGACAAGCATAGTCGCCTTTTACGGCAAGTATGGGTTGCTGAAGACCTATTCTACCCCAGAATTTTCACGGGACGTTTAGTAAATGGAACATACTTACCCTTTAGCTGCTGACCACCTCACGATCGTGTCCTTGTCCCGAAGACCACCCAACAGTTGCTCTGAAACATCAATACAACACTGAAGATGCAGTAACATACTAAGTCGGACCGGACATTTTTGTCTTGATTTATGGAAGTCCTCATTTTCGTAATGGCAGATCTTAGTGACAAATTGTTTGTTGCATCCATTCAGTCAGTCACAGTTATCACGAACCGCACAGGATTGCAGTGGTGTGTGACCTATGGTTTACAGTCGTGAATATAGTGATGTATGAGATGTGTTGGGATGAGGTGTTTTTTTAAGCTGGAAACTTTGTTCTAGGACGTTTTCACACCAGCATCGAAGAAGTATGAGAAATGCATAGTGTGAGACAGGAAAAGTTAAAAAATAATAAAAATAAACATTTCATACAGATATGAGAAAGAACATTAACAATGCCAATTGGAATACTACCTATGACATCTTCAATTTCTTCAGGCACCTCAATATCGTCATCATTATCTTGATCAAGTTTGTTCTCAGTGTTACTGGATTGTTTTGTCTGTTTCAGGTTCTCTGTCAGCGACCTGCTGCCTCTCTGATATCTGAAATCCATCAGTGACACGACTGAAGTGATGCACCAGTCAGGACATCAAGCACATAACTAAACATCAGAAATCACAAACACAAACAAGTCAACATACAATAACAGCATTGTTATACATGTAACAAAAATATTGTGAATATCACATACTTAGTGCAAATATATTTGTGTTTGCCAAGAGTGAATGTGGAGTCTAAAAATGTATTTCCAAGGGGCACTGTAACCTCCAAGGTCCTCACCATCATGTTGTCTGTTGTGTGATGCTGCACTCAATATTCCTGCTGTAAGACGATCTGTACATAATTGAATCTGGGTCAGACAATCCAGTGACTGATGTTATCATCAATGTCCTACACCCTCAGGGTAAGATGACACGCAATAAACCAGAAGTGAGTGAGTGAGTTGGGTTTAACTCTGCTTTTAACAGTATTCCAGTTATATCACGGCGTGTCAGCTTAATGTGGGAGGAAAGCCCGAAGTGATGCAGGTCTCAGACGTTTACCACATCGGTGAAACACACGAGCATGGCGAACCAGGATTCGAACCCACAATCATAGGTTTCTGGCATGCCCAAGGGACTCAACTCTGCACAGCAAATCGCGACACCTTAGACGACTGGGCCACTCGTGCCCTCCAATCAACCAGGACATCAAGTCTGACCACCGATCCATGAAGTCTCCTTTACACCAAGTATAGGTTGCCAGGAACTAATTCTAACCCGGAATCCCCACAGGCTTCTCACTTTCAAAGTATACCCAAGTAAATTCAAAGAATACGCAAGTAATTTTGGTGTTTTCAGATAACAAGTGCAGGAAATGAAGGCCTACCTCCATGCAGCGACTCTGTTCTTGAGGAAGGTAAGCCCAAGTCTCTGAATGAGCTTAACGGTGAGCTTCCGCAGAATGGTGTTCCCGCTTTCCATCATGTTACTCTCTCTGACGTTCGTCAACACAGTAGGAGCTGGAATTTTATAGAAAATGCGTAAGACTCCAATACAAATTGCTGCAGCTCTATGGAACATCCATTGTCTGTGGCATCTTTCACAATATGTACAATATGTGGCATGTCCACAAACACAATGAGTCATGAAAAAGTTTGTAAAAATATCCGCATCTTAATCCAATTTACAAAATTAACCCTAAGCATAATAAAGGTGACAGTAAATGGGAAAACAAGAAATACAACAGCCAGTATCCCTTGATGAAATTACAATTCATCAACAAGATGTGTACAATGTATCAAATCAGAAATTGAGGTTTCATAATTCACAATGATATATGTTGCCTTTTATAAAAACCCAGAAAGTTCTAAAGTATGGTTTTAGTCAAAACACTAAGACTGTAATATTAACTTTTCAGGGCGTAAAGGATTTGACGAGCGGAAAGTTGTACAAGGCTATATAGCTTGAACCCCTACATAGGGAATCAGAGTATTCCCCATATTTATATACTTATCCTGACACCACAGTATGCAATATTCCTTCTTCGAGTTGCGACTAGCTGTTTGGCAAAAACGACGGGACCCATCAAGTGATTGCTAGAGCGTGCAGTTCACTGACACGTGCCACGGTGGTCAACGTGGTCAACAACAGTAGAAAAGCAGTTTTCTGAAAATTTCCGCCGCTGATCAGCCTTACGGTAACCCTGTAGTATAGCTACAAGTTCCAGGCAGTGGAGTCTATCGGGAGGCGCCAAGGACTGAGTTAATCGCTGAGGTGTCACTGACAATGGTGCTCTACGACAAATGCTTCATCTCCCGTAAATATACAACGATAAACAGATCAGCAAAACCCAAAATACAATCGTAAACTGGGAGCGTAGCAAAAACATGTCTGTCCAATATGGGCGATGAAGGAAAAGAGGACGAGTTTTACAGGGGCATTTCGGGAGCAAGGTGGTCGAAGGGTGTGTTCAGGTGGTTGGTTGCTCTACATTATTCGACACTGTGATATGATTGAAGCAAGAAGGAATATTGCATATTGTTTTGGAGGGATGAGTTACAAAATAGATGTATTTTTCTCAATACCCACCATATTGAAGCAGATCCTCCCTCTTGCTCTGTTTGAAGAGCAGTGCCATTGTCATCAACACACCAGACAACAGGTTCGTGCCCATCATTGTCTTACCTGAAACATGACAAAGTCACAATCACTTTGACAAATTAATTGTTCCTTCAGAAATGATTATAAATCTTATCAAGAATGCGGTGATCTTTTGGGTTAATAAATCGAAATAATTTCTCATCAATTTCCAAGCCTCTCATAAAATAATTTCAAGTCAGAAAAAAATCTTTACTTTTTTTCTTGAATCCCATTGGTAATTTTGTTATATCTGAAAATATTGTAATACACCTAGCTTTATTATTCCAAAGTGCCTGCTTTCAGTGATACACTTACGCTGCTTTCAGTGAGACACATATGCTGCTTTCAGTGAGACACTTACGCTGCCTTCAGTGAGACACTTACGCTGCCTTAAGTGAGACACTTATGCTGCTATCAGTGAGACACTTACGCTGCTATCAGTGAGACACTTACGCTGCTATCAGTGAGACACTTATGCTGCTTTCAGTGAGACACTTACGCTGCCTTTAGTGAGACACTTACGCTGCTATCAGTGAGATACTTACACTGCTTTCAGTGAGACACTTATGCTGCTATCAGTGAGACACTTACACTGCTTTCAGTGAGACACTTACACTGCTATCAGTGAGACACTTACACTGCTTTCAGTGAGACACTTACGCTGCCTTCAGTGAGACACTTACGCTGCTATCAGTGAGACACTTACGCTGCCTTCAGTGAGACACTTACACTGCTTTCAGTGAGACACTTACGCTGCTATCAGTGAGACACTTACGCTGCTATCAGTGAAACACTTACGCTGCTTTCAGTGAGACACTTACACTGCTTTCAGTGAAACACTTACACTGCCTTCAGTGAGACACTTACGCTGCTTTCAGTGAGACACTTACGCTGCCTTCAGTGAGACACTTACGCTGCTATCAGTGAGATACTTACAGTGCTTTCAGTGAGACACTTACGCTGCTATCAGTGAGATACTTACACTGCTATCAGTGAGACACTTACATTGCTTTCAGTGAGACACTTACGCTGCCTTCAGTGAGACACTTACACTGCTTTCAGTGAGACACTTACGCTGCTATCAGTGAGACACTTACGCTGCCTTCAGTGAGACACTTACACTGCTTTCAGTGAGACACTTATGCTGCTATCAGTGAGACACTTACGCTGCTATCAGTGAGACACTTACGCTGCTTTCAGTGAGACACTTACACTGCTTTCAGTGAAACACTTACGCTGCCTTCAGTGAGACACTTACGCTGCTTTCAGTGAGACACTTACGCTGCTTTCAGTGAAACACTTACGCTGCTTTCAGTGAGACACTTACACTGCTTTCAGTGATACATTTACCCTGCTTTCAGTGAGACTCTTACGCTGCTTTCAGTGAGACACTTACGCTGCTTTCAGTGAGACACTTACGCTGCTTTCAGTGAGACACTAACGCTGCCTTCAGTGAGACACTTACGCTGCTTTCAGTGATACACTTACGCTGCTTTCAGTCAGACTCTTACGCTGCTTTCAGTGAGACTCTTACGCTGCTTTCAGTGAGACACTTATGCTGCTATCAGTGAGACACTTATGCTGCTATCAGTGAGACACTTATGCTGCTATCAGTGAGACACTTACGCTGCTATCAGTGAGACACTTATGCTGCTTTCAGGAGGACACTTACACTGCTTTCAGTGAGGCACTTATGCTGCTTTCAATGAGACACTTACGCTGCTTTCAGTGAGACTCTTATGCTGCTTTCAGTGAGACACTTATGCTGCTTTCAGTGAGACACTTATGCTGCTATCAGTGAGACACTTACGCTGCTATCAGTGAGACACTTATGCTGCTTTCAGTGAGACACTTACGCTGCTTTCAGTGAGACACTTACACTGCTTTCAGTGAGACACTTACACTGCTTTCAGTGAGACACTTACACTGCTTTCAGTGAGACACTTACGCTGCTTTCAGTGAGACACTTACACTGCTTTCAGGGAGACACTTACGCTGCTTTCAGGGAGACACTTACGCTGCCTTCAGTGAGACACTTACACTGCTTTCAGTGAGACACTTACGCTGCTTTCATTGAGACACATATGCTGCTTTCAGTGAGACACTTACGCTGCCTTCAGTGAGACACTTACGCTGCTTTCAGGGAGACACTTGCGCTGCTATCAGGGAGACACTTACACTGCTTTCAGTGAGACACTTACGCTGCTATCAGTGAGACACTTATGCTGCTATCAGTGATACACTTACACTGCTTTCAGTGAGACTCTTACGCTGCTTTCAGTGAGACACTTATGCTGCTTTCAGTGAGACTCTTACGCTGCTTTCAGTGAGACACTTATGCTGCTTTCAGTGAGACACTTACGCTGCTTTCAGTGAGACACTTACGCTGATTTCAGTGAGACACTTATGCTCTTTCAGTGAGACACTTACACTGCTATCAGTGAGACACTTACACTGCTTTCAGTGAGACACTTACACTGTTTTCAGTGAAACACTTACACTGCTATCAGTGAGACACTTACACTGCTATCAGTGAGACACTTACGCTGCTATCAGTGAGACACTTACACTGTTTTCAGTGAAACACTTACGCTGCTTTCAGTGAGACACTTACGCTGCTTTCAGTGAGACACTTATGCTCTTTCAGTGAGACACTTATGCTGCTATCAGTGAGACACTTACACTGTTTTCAGTGAAACACTTACGCTGCTTTCAGTGAGACACTTACGCTGCTTTCAGTGAGACACTTATGCTCTTTCAGTGAGACACTTATGCTGCTATCAGTGAGACACTTACGCTGCTTTCAGTGAGACACTTACGCTGCTTTCAGTGAGACACTAACGCTGCCTTCAGTGAGACACTTACGCTGCTTTCAGTGATACACTTACGCTGCTTTCAGTCAGACTCTTACGCTGCTTTCAGTGAGACTCTTACGCTGCTTTCAGTGAGACACTTATGCTGCTATCAGTGAGACACTTATGCTGCTATCAGTGAGACACTTATGCTGCTATCAGTGAGACACTTACGCTGCTATCAGTGAGACACTTATGCTGCTTTCAGGAGGACACTTACACTGCTTTCAGTGAGGCACTTATGCTGCTTTCAATGAGACACTTACGCTGCTTTCAGTGAGACTCTTATGCTGCTTTCAGTGAGACACTTATGCTGCTTTCAGTGAGACACTTATGCTGCTATCAGTGAGACACTTACGCTGCTATCAGTGAGACACTTATGCTGCTTTCAGTGAGACACTTACGCTGCTTTCAGTGAGACACTTACACTGCTTTCAGTGAGACACTTACACTGCTTTCAGTGAGACACTTACACTGCTTTCAGTGAGACACTTACGCTGCTTTCAGTGAGACACTTACACTGCTTTCAGGGAGACACTTACGCTGCTTTCAGGGAGACACTTACGCTGCCTTCAGTGAGACACTTACACTGCTTTCAGTGAGACACTTACGCTGCTTTCAGTGAGACACATATGCTGCTTTCAGTGAGACACTTACGCTGCCTTCAGTGAGACACTTACGCTGCTTTCAGGGAGACACTTGCGCTGCTATCAGGGAGACACTTACACTGCTTTCAGTGAGACACTTACGCTGCTATCAGTGAGACACTTATGCTGCTATCAGTGATACACTTACACTGCTTTCAGTGAGACTCTTACGCTGCTTTCAGTGAGACACTTATGCTGCTTTCAGTGAGACTCTTACGCTGCTTTCAGTGAGACACTTATGCTGCTTTCAGTGAGACACTTACGCTGCTTTCAGTGAGACACTTACGCTGCTTTCAGTGAGACACTTATGCTCTTTCAGTGAGACACTTACACTGCTATCAGTGAGACACTTACACTGCTTTCAGTGAGACACTTACACTGTTTTCAGTGAAACACTTACACTGCTATCAGTGAGACACTTACACTGCTATCAGTGAGACACTTACGCTGCTATCAGTGAGACACTTACACTGTTTTCAGTGAAACACTTACGCTGCTTTCAGTGAGACACTTACGCTGCTTTCAGTGAGACACTTATGCTCTTTCAGTGAGACACTTATGCTGCTATCAGTGAGACACTTACACTGTTTTCAGTGAAACACTTACGCTGCTTTCAGTGAGACACTTACGCTGCTTTCAGTGAGACACTTATGCTCTTTCAGTGAGACACTTATGCTGCTATCAGTGAGACACTTACACTGTTTTCAGTGAAACACTTACGCTGCTTTCAGTGAGACACTTACACTGCTTTCAGTGAGACACTTATGCTCTTTCAGTGAGACACTTATGCTGCTTTCAGTGAGACTCTTACGCTGCTTTCAGTGAGACACTTATGCTGCTTTCAGTGAGACACTTACGCTGCTTTCAGTGAGACACTTATGCTGCGATCAGTGAGACACTTATGCTGTTTTCAGTGAGACGCTTATGCTGCTATCAGTGAGACATTTGCTGCTTTCAGGGAGATGCTTACGCTGCTTTCAGTGAGACACTTATGCTGCTTTCAATGAGACACTTACGTTGCTATCAGTGAGACACTTACGCTGCTTTCAGTGAGACACTTATGCTGCTTTCAATGAGACACTGACGCTGCAGTCAGTGAGACACTTATGCTGCTTTCAATGAGACACTTACGCTGCTATCAGTGAGACACTTATGCTGCTTTCAGTGAGACACTTATGTTGCTTTCAATGAGACACTTACGCTGCAATCAGTGAGACACTTACGCTGCTATCAGTGAGACACTTACGATCAGCTGTATGGAGAATCTGAATACACCAGTCCAGAAACCCGGGTAGTTTGTGCTTGACAACATCTGGTCTGGTCATGAAGCGCGATATGAGGAACGCCGCCGCATCCCGACTCTTGCCGCTGACACTCAGGTATGTCTGTAACAAGATCTCTACAACTTAAAGCCCACTCATGTATTAAATATGGAGAATATAGTCAAGGGGAGACAATCATAAAAAGGTACGAGTCATGACTGATTGTCTCCCCATAACCACAACAGTTGTAGTACATGTACTGATACAGGGTTCACATTTATCATAGGTCCGCTAGAATGGGACTAGTAATATTCAGGAAGGACTAGTAACATTTCCCTCTTGACTGCTACTTCACCATTAGGTAGATAGCAACAGTTGAACTCTGTGGCAGATCAATTTTGCCAAATAGTGAAAATAGAATATGATTCTAACCCTGTGATGGTGAACACCAAAATAACATCATTTTCTACATTATGACTTCATGCAACAAGGTTATGGAGAAGTCATGGCATATTTACGGAAAATTATTCACATTCAATTTTTTCATTAGCAGCGAATGGTCTGTCATGAATGGGGAATTAATTTACTTATGCTTGTCAGGATATGAAATACAGTATCTTTGCTGATATGATTACCGTCTGCATCCCATCACATTAACAACGGATACACTTGATAAAGTTGACACAATTTATGGATAACAACTTCTATAATATGCTATATAGCAACGTTTCGGTATAGATCCTCATATCTTTATATCATTATACTGTTGTCAAGCAAGTTTCTGTACCATATGGTTCTATGAAAAGTTGTTATCAATAAAGTATGTCTACTATGTGATACGTTAACTTCTGAGAAATGTCTAAATATAAATTACCACAGCTCACTTTGAAGTGTGCTGTCCAGGTACTCTGACCAACAACAGCAGACATCCTTGAACACCCACCTTGCCAACTTCAATGATTCGATCCATGACCGGTTGCTTTTTCTCTCCAGCTTCGGTTTTCATGCTGCCATCAAGACGTACCATGTCAAACGGGATCATACACACCATTGCCAGCCACAACACCAGGATGTAGCGAGACTCCCAGTTCTGTAAGTCACAGAGGAGACCGGAACATCATGCACGATCATGGGGAGACTGAGGGAGATTAATGGGCAAGTAAACTATTGTCTAATTTGTCCATTTTCACATTGACAGTTCCATTTACATAATTCACAGTCAAACTAGATGTGACACAGCATTGTGATAATCGTTTGCTGGTTTTTCGTTGGCAAGAAGTTGTCTCTTCTCCTTCTCATGGGCATCGTCTAGGTTTCGATACTTCTTCTTCTTGGGTGGCATCAAACAACCTGGATTGTGGTTGCAGTATTATCCTGTTGAACCTGCAGTATCTCAATGAATTTGTGCAGATTTGGATGTCACCCCTTGAGATGATTTGCTGCATCGTCCCACCGCTCAGAGACATATAATTGTGTTTCGTGACAAACTCATCTTTTGTGTTAATGATGGTTGGGCATCCTCTTTTGGAGTGAGTGAGTGAGAATGGTTTTACACCGCTTTTAGCAATATTCCAGCAATATCACAACAGGGGACACCAGAAATGGGCTTCACACATTGTAGCCATGTGGGGAATCGAACCCGGGGCCTTCGGCGTGACGAGCTAACACTTTAACCACTAGACTACCCGACTTTGTTTGGGGGTGAGTGCATGTGTGAGGCAGGGCAGAGTTGATGGCTTTAACCACTAGACTACCCCATCGCCCCACCTCTTTTGGAACATTTCCAATGAATGGAAGTTTGACGTCTGGTCTTAATCATGACCTTGTATCCGGCAAGGACTAGGTGCAGATCCATCTTAGAATTGGGAATAAAATGTAAATCAATCTGCTCATTTGCCACAGTGGAATACTGTTTCTTGTCTGCAATTCCTTTTTTAGTCCAAATCAGACTAAATGATCACTCACTCACTGACATATAGCTTAAACGTTTTCACTCAGTACACTGTATGTGAACATAGTTCACCAAATAGTTGTGTTGTTATATTTTGTGAGATTGTTGTGTCATATGTGAGATTCCCCCCTTAACACCCTATTGTGTTACCAAGCACCATGCTCTGGTGTACCCATTACAATAGGTGCTGGACAAGTTGGAAGAACCCCACCAGGCAGACTGGTCATCGGCCACATCATTAAAATTGCGCAGCATGTCAAACACTGGTAAGCCCGGGGACGATTTTGCCCGACGTTTATGGTATTTCCCTTTTCCAAATTTAATTGTGGTCAACCATTTGTGGTTAAGTATCCTCTAAAGTATTAAAATCTGCAAAGCTGCTATCTTGACTTTACTTTCCCTTAAAGGAGATTAACCATGATATGCTAAGGATTCTCATCATTTTTTTTTTCTACATCCACTCTACATGCTACAGTTAACATGGTTAATCTAGTCATTAAAAGCAAAAACATTTTTAATGTACATGCAGACAGCCTGTATTCAAAATATTTGCTGGTTTGGGCAAGAAAACATTAAATTTAATTTCAACCAAAAAGATATTGCTTAACTTCACTGAAGGGAACTTTTAGACTTGTTCTTGCATCACTTCTCAAAGACCTTTTTTACAGGCTGAACAGGTACCAAAATAAACGTTATATGACTTATTTGCTGTGAAGTACATACAGCACATTTTGGACATTAACAAAGACTAAATTTCTTTCAAGATAACTCCATGTCTCACCTTAAAGTCGTGGGGGTCCTGTAGTTTTAAAAGTGCCAACACTGGTTCAACATCAACAACTTCATGGGGCAGGAGGCGGACAACAATCTTAAACCCTCGCATCTGAAACACAATTCGCAAGTTAAACTATCATCCACTGGCACATAACAGTACATCTAGTCTCGCTGTAAGAAAGGGCCTTCCAATAAATTATGTCAAATAATTATTTCATAGGGGTTGAAAAGTCTGTCGTTCTTTATTTGTAGAAGTGGTGAGTGAATAAGTTGGGATTAGAGCCACTTTGAAAAATACTTCAGTCACATCAAAGCATGATCATGTTAGTGTGGGAGAAAAGCCCAAATTGATTCTTTCCACTTTGGGGGTGACAAAACAATGACCACACTGGAGACAGTGCTTGGATTAAAACCAATGAACATCAGCCTCTGACAGTCAGGGGACACAACTCTTCTAAGTAGGATGTGGGTTTCACCTCTGCCTCACCTCGTGCTTTTCTCCCCCATGAAGTTGACACGCCATGACATAACTGAAATACTGTTCAAAGCAGCGTTACAACTCGCTATTAGTTTCTTCCACTAAACATCCTCAGGCAGTGTCCCAAGAACAAATTTATGACTTTTGGAAACACTACATTTACTAATCACTGTGGTGGTAGGAAACTCAATCTGAAATTCCCAGAAGGAACACAGGGTTTGTTGTACCTTAGTGATGAGATAGATATACTTGAAGGCCAGGTGGACAACAGGGACAGGGGTGTCCGGGTTCCTTGCTTGGTTCAACAGCTGCAGCAGGAGTGACTCTGGGAATGATACACATGATGAGAGAGTGAGTATGGTTTTACGCCGCTTTTAGCAATATTCCAGCAATATCACGATGGGGAACACCAGAAATGGGCTTCACACATTGTACCCATGATGGGTATCGAACCCAGGTCATCGGCATGATGAGCGAACGCTTTAACCACTTGGCTACCCGACCGCCCCCACATAATGAGGATATTAACTTGGTTAAGGGGGTGATCAGGGTGTGATTTGTTCTGTATCTTTTAGCAAGTGATTTGTAGCACCTTCAAAATCTTTTGTGGTCACATTCAATACAATTTTGCACTATTTTAGTTGGAAACACGTCCAAATGGATTCTTCATGTCACAATAAAATGCTGGAACTCAGCTAGTATCCATTTAAAAGAAATTATTACATTTCATATCAAATGAAAAACATTAATGATTGAACAAAAGCAATGAAAGAAATACATTTTTGCCACACGTTACCCATCTTCCCGAGGCAAGAGGGGTTAACTGACTTTAATGTCCAGTTTCCACCCTTGCCGAACTAGACTGGGATTTTTGGCTCAATCATAGCGCAACCACCAATCTAAACCTCTCCTAGGGATCAATCCGATTCCACCTGTCGTATCACTTGCATTTGTTTCAAACGAAATGGCGGCGCCCAGTCAAGACGATATGATCAATAATGAAGATCTATATTGTTATAAAACGGGTTTTACATCACGAAGTGCATCAAGTCATGTGAGCACCTTGATTTGAAAAATATCTGTTGACAACGAGTTGGCGGTGCACATGCTTTGCAAATCCTGCAATCGGCCAAAACTCTGCACGACAGTTTACAAACTGGTTTTCGATTTCGTTGCGCGATTTGATTGGACTATGCAACGACTCGTTAGTACAGCCAAAATAGCTCCATAATACCAGCCTAGTTCGGCAAGGGTGGAAACTGGACTTTTATAGTCAGTTTACTCTCTTGCCTCGGGAAGATGTACATTACCAGGTATTTATGTTTTCATAATGCAGTGAAGACAATTGTGCTTACAGGTTACCTTGGTTACTTATTATTTACACTGGAACAGTATTCACATCACCATGATCATGATAAATCTTGTTGGCTTATTAACATGATCAACCAATCAGGTTAGTGTTCCAGAAACTTATATGCTGAAATCATAAATTATGTTTACCAAGATGAGGATCAATCAAATGAGGTTGTTCTTGGTAGGAATCGATGATACCTGAAATAGAAAGTGCTCAAAATAGAATTGATTAACATATATGCAGACTGGCAAGAAGCAATCAGAATATTTCAAAATAGGTAAAAGAAAACATGGATTTATGCTCAGTCACTGAGCCTGGTGAGCCCTTGTCTTACATGCATACCTTAATAGCACTAAATCCACATAACATACTTGGTAAGAAGCTCAATTTGTCATATATCTATTTCATTACAAAACAGGCAATATATGGCTGCAATATCATCTATGCAATGCTATGTGACATAATATTTTAACTAGCTCTCACTAGTAACTAAGAGAGAGAGAGTTGTCTGGTTCCTGCTAATGGGCACCATTGTGTCTGTACTGGCTAGCAAGCAGTTATCGCCGAGGACCAATTATCGCCAATACCCATTATAGTGCGAACATAATTGCATCTTGTTTAACTTTTTTACATGTGTTTCTCATCTCCAACCTCAACCAGCAACAGAGCAGTCAGGCGAACTTTAAAAAAAACAACCCAAAAAAACCTGCTTTCAATTAATTGTGTAAGTTATTTTATGAAATTGTTAAAGGTTAGAACACTTCGTAACAGTCCTTCAAATAATTAAAGACATAGATCGAGTCGCTTTGTTTTGGAAGCATTTTTTTTTAAATATAGCTTAAGAGAGATCAAGCTGACCTGGGTTTTTTAGTGTGCAATTGTTGAAGTATTTTTTTTAACACATCTGGGCATAAATTACCACAGTGGCAGGAAAACTAGAGATAAGAAAGGTTTTTATTATTTGACGTTGGAACAAAAATTAAAGGCAGGCCGGGGATGGGAATCACAGGACAAAATACAGACAGTCTGATCACAAGACGTGCACATCATGATGGCAATAACTGGTACAGTTAGTTAGTCAATGGGAAAATTCAAATCCCACTTTTTTTATTCCTTCTTCTATTATAACAGAAAACTACTCAATTTTGTTTTCATGGACAGAAATAAGCATATTTGATCAAAATTTCACAAAAATCAAAGTTATTGGTACAGTCAACTTTATACATGGAATATTTCAGAAATAACATGAAAAATGGCAATAATTGGTGGGAGGCCATGTATGCCTTATGGGGTAGAAATTAACCAAGAACATCTACTAGCCCGAACAGTGATAACATACAGCAACATCCCTCAAAACATTTTAAATTCTACAAGCTCTTAGAGTACCTTTAACATTAACAGCGGGCTGGTGCTAACATCTATCCCTGCCTCATGCTGGGATGGGTAACTCAAGTAGTTGGGACAGGTGGGCCCTTAGCAGGACCCGAGTACCCACATGTCTACCTGGAACCATAGCTAGTCAGATGATACATTGTTTAATGACACTAATATTAAAAATCCAAGTTTACACTTTAAGTTGCTAATGTAGCAGGGCGTAGAGTCATCCCACAGATGACCTCCTTACCTTGTCAGCTTGCTGACTGGGTTAACCTCTTTGGTCATGTGGACAAGGCGTCCGACCTCGGTTGAGCAAAATTTGAGCAAAATAAGCCTCAGTACCCTACTATGCGGCCCGGGACGTGCCTTCTGTTGACGGGGGAGTATGTAGCAGGGCGTGGAGTCATCCCACAGATGACATCCTTACCTTGTCAAGGACAAGGCGTCCGACCTCTGATCAGAAGGTCCGTGGTTCGAATCCCATCACAGGACTCAGAAGTTTTATGGCCGCTACACACAGATTTGTTCTGAGTTAATATATGTTTCAGTAACTTCAGTGTGCTCATGATCAGATAGTTTTATAGGTGTATCTAAATATATTTTTGCGAGAGCTCTGGTAAAACAATTAACCCAACTCTTAAGACCTACAGCGGGTACCCGGGTAGTAAATTTGGACTCGTCCAGCCCGAGGCACCCCCTTCATGCCACAGCTGGCAGTCAGAACTAATTACTGGCATAAGCTGTGGCTGGTCTCACCATAAACATTTCTTGATAAAATTGTGGTGTTAAACTGAAGATTTAGGTGTGACAGGGTACAACTTCATTAATTGCAAACATTTGGATATGTTCCCTGACTGAAATATTGCAAATTAGAGTTTGTTATACCTTGATAGGATGTAGGAGTCAGTACAATACTTGCACAAGTTTAATATGCACATCGCTTACGTTGTTGGCTCTGTTTTGGTTTGAGAATTGAATCAGGCATGGGACGTCATACTTGGAAATAATGATACATTATTTAAAAACACGCAGAACCGTCGACCCACTGTCCCTTTAGTGACAATTCATTATATGGCAGATAGCATTGCTGCCAAGGATATCAGTGATGAAAGACTTCCGTCCACCCCCACCCACCACCCCCTCCATCCTCCAAAAGTTATAGGTCCCATGCATTGCTGCTCAGTCCTATAATTATATAATCTTTTGAGAGGGGATACGGGCCGATGTCATACCATGTCATACCATTATTGAAACTTGTTACAGGCCACACTGTCTGAAAGCTATACATCAAGTCTAAATGTAGAAAATGACTCATGAACCTAGCAAGTCTAAAGTTTACAAAACCACGTTGACAACTCACAAGTAAATCGTTCACATGACATTTCTAAACTTCTAAGGTCATCATAAACATCCTTCAACCCATCGATAAGTGACCGAATTTCTTCGATCTCCTTGAACTCTTCATGATATGCTTTTTGCTCATCGCCTTCAGTATCTTCGACTTCCATGACACTCGAACTTTCCGTAGCAGCCGCCATATTTGTAAACTCTCGCTGCTAAAACGAGATGTGTGAGATTTGGGATTTGTTTTAAATAAAATTATTCAAAAGATCCCTTACGTCCCGTTATAATACGTAATAACAAAACAATAGGCATCTGTATGATTAAAGTTTATTTTTATTAAGTATTTTCTTAAATAGAATGTAAAAATATTCCAGATGTTCGAATCAAAAACGAAATTCAGTTATGTAATTATCATACATCAACTTATGATTGCCTCTGGTATAACACGATTTGGCATTTAAAAACCTGTTATTCTAATAAGATTTTAAATTACAGCATATATATTGTGTAATTAAAAGTCATTGTTCGTAAAAAGAGAAAACGCCTACATTTTGATTAACCATACGGAAATAAGAACGGTAACTCTGACTCCGACAACAAGTGAAAATATTAGATGCGAAGTATATACGGTAATAATATTGATGTTAAACAAACACAAAAGTGGCAGGATCAGTTATTAATCAATGTCAATAGAAGCATCGATTATCTTAAGGGATTTGTTCATACGAAAGCAAAATAGATAGCCACGACAGAATATCTGATGAAGATATCACTGTCAAACATGCCCGAAAAACAATTATGGAAAGTGTTCCTACCATCCAGCATGTTGACTTGTCCCAGTGGCTATATATACGGATCTGTACTTGAAAGAACTCAGACAGTATGCATTCAGAAAATCAGTGAGAGTGAAAATGACACCCCAAACAGTTCAGTGGTTGGAATTTGGAGGTCTCGTAAAGAAAAGAAGACTGCAGAAAGTTTAGAGGAGATAAAAACCCTTTCTCACGGCGATATCTTTATTAAATTGTGTATATCTGAATTTGGTTCCATTTCTTGCAGCTTGCAAAACCTTGCAAAAAAGCATCTGGAATCAAAATGTCACTGCATTTTATATGATCCTTGTGATTTGCTCTCCTCATACATTCTTACAAATAGATCTTTCATCAGACAAACAACAACTGTCAATACGAGCAATGAGGTGGTGTCATCCTGTGAAAACATATCGTCACTTGTGTCATCACTATTAACATTTTCCAACATACCAGGAGAGAAATATGAAGCAAAGGGAAGAAAAGAGGTGAAAGAAATCTCAAGGATTTCTACACAAGGAATCTTTTATCCATTCTGCCAACTTATGATATGCCCATTCATCTCAATTTTCCTTCTGTTTGGAAAAATATTTGACAACAGGTAAGACTTTTTTCAGTGGCATTTGGAAGTTGGTGTGATGAAGTAAGACAAGTTCTATAAGTGCTTGAAAAAGGCGTTAGGATCTACACCGAAACGTCGCACTAATTGTAATAAAGAAGTTGTTCATCCATAGAACTTGTCTTACTTCAACAGGTAAGACACAAAGATAAAAATGTCTGAGGTAGTATGTGATGACAATGGGGTAATTGGCATTAGTTATAAGAAATTAAAAAATTATGTAAGGATTTTGCCAGCATATTTATTTTCTTAGTCATACTGTTTTCAAGAAATTTTCCTTTTGGCCTTTTTGTTTATTAAATCATGTTTTTTTTGTTAACCCCACCAGCCCCGATCAAAAACTTCTGTATGTCAGCCATTTCCCTCACAAAATCAATCATCAGCTGTTCATTGTCGCTTTGACATTTGAGCGTTGCATTTACTGCCTACAACAACAACAAAAAGATAATTATCTCCCTAGTTTCGATACCTGCTGCGCAAATGCACTTCCTGTTTATTATGTAACAGACAGTTGCCAAGTATGTTGTCTATTTGTCATGTTAATGATACGAGCGACATGTATTTCATTGTTATGACTTAGATCGTGGGAGAGATGAAAACACATTTTACATGTTTTAGGTTCGAATTTATCTTGAATATTTTATTGAAAACAATTCGAGATGAATTGATCATGTTGATACAATTGAAATATATGTACTCACCTGGCAGGATGAACATTTCTTCAATTCTTTCTCAACATTGCACATGCTGCTACTTGTCACTTCAAGTGGACGGGTGGATTTTTTTAGCCCTGAAGTATTCTGCAATTTTCACTATATTGGCTTGAAATACTAATGATTACACCTTTGCATTGCTTATCATATCGTGTGCTTGTCATACTGCATCTATTAAGGAAATGGTGTATGTTTTTCATTACTCATTATTATAATAACATTTTAACACTTTATCTTTCTCAACACGCTCAAAGATGTTTTGCTTTTCAGATGCACAAAGAGCAGCTTGGCAAAGACCTGTCTAGATGGCCCCACACTGACTCGACACATTCGATACAAATGTAGCTTCTTGAGAAGAAGTTGTACTCACAAAAATGATTCTCCACTAAATAGGCTGAAGTAAGTACTGTAGCATCACACTGACCAGTAGTGTGTCACATGAGGATTCAGGGCAGAAGAGATCCCAATACGACATATGCTACTCAGCTTTTGATAGGGATATTATGAGTGTACAGGCAGGAACTGAATGTGTCTGATTGCTTGGAGAAGTTGTCCTACAAATAGCACTCAATATTGCCATGGAGCTGACTCATTATTAAGTGAATTAGTGATACATGTACATTGCTGTAATTTGTGTAAATTACCATTTTTCACAGAGAGAAATGTAAACAAAAATACCCCATCCCCAAATGGACCTACCTACACTATTTCTAGATGGGCAGAAATAGAAAATATTTTTTGCCTTAAATGGTAATTTGGTATGAAGTGTTCTGTGGATGCATTTCTTGTTTAAATCTGATAAAAACTGATTTATTTCTTCAAGGTTTTTGGATTCCTGTGGCCGGCAGCTGATTGATACAGCACTAGGTATATGTGTGATGGTTGTCATGGTGAATGCCACACTCGCAGACAATGCTGCCACCAGCATCATGGACTGGGCCGATGTGAGAAGTTATTGATGTTCTATTTCATTTTGCATTCTTTTAGTTGTTAATTTTGTGGCTTAACCACATCAACAGATATTGCGAACACAACGGTTTTTAATCATTTTTAATGATTCTATTAAGAAAACCATTGTCATGACTATTAAGCTGCTGTGGTAGTGTATGTTTGGTGCTTTTAGATTATACATTGAGACCTACCACAAGTGTCAATAATTACAGTCTTGAAAATCCTTGAATTTTGCAGTTCAGCCTTGAAAAGGTCTTAAGTTTGAATATGCTTTGAAAAGATATTATATCATGTATATGTTTGATAAAACCTGAATTTTAAAACTATATATGGTTAACTCTATTTTTAAATAAATGATTTCAACTTGAAATTTTATTTTAAATTGTATATTTATATACCGGGATACTTATCCTATCTCACATTATCCATTTCTCCTTCTCCTTTCGATCTTGGTGTGGAAATGCCTTAGATGAAGTGTCCAGCTTCATAAAAATATTACACCCGAACACATCCCAGCATCACCATGGTCACCATCCAAACAAATGTGTCACACAGTGTAATCCCAGAAACTTTGTTCTAGAGCGTTTCCACACCAAGATCGGAAAAAGGAGAAAATGCATTGTGTAAGACAGGATAAGTTTATTTTTTTTATGTCCCTTGTAATTCATGGTCATATTGCAAACGGAAATTTAAACACTGGTGAGTGGCCTTGACTATTTTGATAGTGTACTTGGATGTACAAATGGAGCCATTTTGACAATGACATATGTTGTACAGAACGTGGCCAGTTCTCTGACTCGGTTGATCAACTGGATGATGGGGGCACCTGCCGGTCTGAAGCTCAACACTCAGCTCACACACTTCCTGGGACACTTCTTCCTCTACCATATCTACCTGTGGACAGGTGAGCCTAGCTGTCTCTACCAGGGGTGTCTGTAGATGGCCTCTACCCGACTGACACAGTAGTTTTCAGGGCATGTGGCTTTCCTGAATTCTGTGGGAAATAATCATATACTTTTTACAAGATTTAATGTATGTTTTGGTGAAATAAGTGCAAAACCTGCAAATAATCATATTATTATGTTAGCTAAGAGACACATTTTTATTTCTAGTTTAAAGAAAAGGAAACCCTCAATGGACGTTTTTAAACAAGTATTCAAAGATGCTATTTATTTGGAATATCTGTCAGCAAAAACTAATAATAAGCTTAGCACTTATAACAAAAAGTGGTTATTGTATTGTGGTTTACATGATGCCTTGAATCTTACATAGATTGCTGACTGTGTGTTATTATTGATTGTTTGCAATCACTTTGACTCTATTGCCAAAGAAAGACTGTAATGTTTTTCCAAGATAAGGATTACAATACTATAATTCGGTACTGTTTATTCCTTTACAGTTACTACATGTATTAGCTTATCTTTCTACGATTGCTCATAAATATGGTGTCAACTACATTCATGCAAGAACATCTTGCTCGATCCTTCATGATCAAGGCCTATTCTCCGCGGTGTCAAAATGTTAATTGCTATATATGTATATATTACTGTGTATGTAACCACTGAAACTGGAATAAAAATTATTTGGAAAAAAAAAAAAAAGTTATCAGGGCATGTCTCCACCATGCCCTACACTGACTGGGAGTGTATCATACAGAGTAGTTTTCAGGGCATGTCTCCACTATGCCATACACTGACCTGTATATACCTGACTGTGAGAGTATGTTTCAGGCTACCTGTCCCTACTGCGACCCGTCCTGGGGGTGCTGCTTCGGGGTAGCAGTGTGTTGGGGGTGATTGGGGCGTCAGCCCAGCTGTGTCTAGTCCAGGACGTCATCTCCATGATGACAGTACACATCTACTGCTTCTATGTGTACGCAGCAAGGTAAGGCAGGCTTTTTCACGTGTAATGCTTTACAAATCTGTTTTTCTTTCCACTGAGTGTTTTATTGATCTCCTTAATAACGCTACAATGCTACCTTAGGGGTCCATATAATTGATGAGCGTTATAGTCAAGGTGGAGTCGTAGGGGGTAGATGACCAACACACCAATTCACACTTCGCCTACCTAACACGACCTATGCCGCACGTTGCATATCAGAGTTTGAAATTTTATGCATTACCGCACGCTATAACCGCATTAGCACTATATTGAAGGGCTCAATAGCGAGGGGACACCGTATTTGAGACATTATTCACATGTTCTCATAATGCTTATAATGTAATGGAGACTGCTCCAGTCTAGATATTACAGTGTCTGAAGAGAGTGAGTGTGTGTGGTTTTTACCTTCGGCAGTATTCCATCATGACGGGGACAACAGAAATGGGCTGCACACAATTTACCCGTTTGAGGAATAGAACACAGGACTTGAGCAGGATACAAGAGAACTGATAGCCTTGGAATACTGATGTTAGTGTAGAAGTTCTAATTGTCTTTCGGGGGCACAGGTTGCCCAGTCATCTAAGGCGCCACGATTCGCTGTGCAGAGTTGCGTCCCTTGGGCACACCAGAAACCTATGATTGTGGGTTTGAATCCCTGTTCGCCCCGATCATGTTTCTAGGTTTGTCAGCACCATACCCGTGCTCGTGGGTTTCACCGAAGTGGTAAACGTCTGAGACCTGCATCACTTTGGGCTTTCCTCCCACATTAAGCTGACACGCCGTGATATAACTGGAATACTGTTAAAAGCGGCATAAAACCCAACTCACTCACTCACACTAATTGTCTTTCCCCCTCATTCAGGTTATACAGTCTGCAAGTATATGCCCTTGCATCACTGTGGCGTCTGTTTCGAGGCAAGAAATGGAATGTGCTGCGTCATCGAGTGGACTCGGCCGTGTACGACATCGATCAGCTGTTTGTGGGGACCCTCTTCTTTACCATCCTTCTCTTCCTCCTGCCCACTACCCTGCTGTACTATGTCTTCTTCCTTGCGGTGAGAAGAAGTCCACATTATTGTCTCACGAGAACTGTGGGGTCATGGGTGGTTGTCATGGTGACTCTGTTGACAATGCCATTTCGGCCTTCAGTGGCACTACTCAGCCATTTAGTCATGTAGCAATGTTTGTTTGTTGTTTACTGCCGCATTCAGCAATATTCCAGCTATATGACGGCGGTCAGTAAATAATCCAGTCTGGACCAGACAATCCAGTGATTATCATCATGAGCATCGATCCATGCAGTTGGGATGCGGTGACAAGTCAGCGAGCCTGACCACCCGATCCCGTTAGTCAGTGCAAAAACGAGGCTCAAGGGGTGCATTCAGGTGAGCTGTTTTTTTCTGTTCTCTGGGAACACAGTTCAGGAAGTTTCCACTGCCCTCCGGAAAAGAGAGAGATGAGCAATAAGTATGTGTCAGTGGATAAATATAAGTGATATTTTGACTCTAAAAAATATATTTCTGCAGATATATTTTAAGTCTTATGCATGTATTTGTTACATTATTTACACTGTGTTGGCAGCTGCGTGCAGTGGTGCTGGTGACGGAGGGGCTGCTGACGTTGTGTGTGTGGGTCATCAACCACCTCCCTGTCTACTCCCTCAGCATGTGGCTGCTGGGGTCCAACACAGTGGCAGGTCAGTCCCTACTCCCCCTTCAGGCTCTCACTGTTCGTGGTGGTAAAGTCCACTCCGACTTCACTAGAATACTGAAGAACTCAATGCACCAGTACCTGACAAAGTCGTTCTTTATTTATCATCATTTGATTGTCCTGATAACTAGAATTTTTTTGTTGAATATATGGATAACTAGTAAGGCTGGGACGAGTCCAAATTTACTACCCGGGTACCCGACCCCCCTATTACCCACTGTAGGTCTCAAGAGTGTACAAAATGTCTAATTGGGAATTGTTTTACTGAAGCCCTGGCAAAAACTATTTAGATACATGTATCTAACGATCGGATCATGCGTACAGTGATGTTGACTGAAGCTTTATGTTTACTCAGACATATACAAGTCTAAAGGAATGTGTGCATCGGCAGAAAGAAATGTGAACACATGCGACTTGTGGTGTAACCACTGAGCTGTATTGAGTTTTTGTTATTAAACAATATATCATGTGACTAACCACAGGTCCGGGTAGTCCTGTGGGTACCTGGGTCCTACTCAGGACCCACCCGACCCGAGTACCCGAGTACCCGAGTTACCCGTCCCAGCCCTAATAACTAGATACATTTTCAGCCACTATTCCACCAGTTCTTGGTACACACGGGAGGGTCCAAAGGGAAGGGGTGAAGAAGCTGCACAAACACCTCTTTTTTCAGCATTTTTTGTGTCAACCTATAGGTGTCAGTCCCTCTATGTCTTTTTTGTTCACTCTGTGTCTTGTGTACACCCCTTTTTCAAACTACTGTATCTGGATTGGAATTAACCAAAACAGGCAGTCTAGCCCATGATATCTACCCCTTCCAGACTAGACTATTTGATTGTTTACCAGACCAAAAACCTGTTGTAGGAACAATGTGGTTCCTATCGTTACAACTTGGCTGCAGATAATCTCAGCAAAATACACGTGACTGTCCCTGATTGCTATGTACAGTATCTGTTGTGTAATGATTATTTGTTTAATTGTTAACTTCTTGATCCACTCCCTCTCGCTGTCTGTTGCTAGGTGATGTGCGGTTCTCCGTGGTGCCAGATTCCTACACTGAGACCTCCCTTGTGCTCACAATGCAGGTAAAAATATCATCATAATGTCAATAGTGGATATCACTGTGTACCTATGTTTCTTCACTGAGACCTCCATGTGCTAACGATGCAGGTATATATTTCATTGTAATGTCACTAGTGGCTATCAGGGTGTACCTATGTTTCTTCACTGAGACCTCCCTTGTGCTAACGATGCAGGTATATATTTCACCGGGGCGTCAGTAGTGGATATCACAGTGTACCTATGTTTCTTCACTGAGACCTCCCTTGTGCTAACGATGCAGGTATATATTTCACCAGGGTGTCAGTAGTGGATATCACGGTGTACCTATGTTTTTTCACTGAGACCTCCCTAGTACTAACAATGCAGGTATATATTTCACCGGGGCGTCAGTAGTGGATATCAGGGTGTACCTATGTTTCTTCACTGAGACCTCCCTTGTGCTAACGATGCAGGTATTGGTATATATTTCACCAGGGTGTCAGTAGTGGATATCACGGTGTACCTATGTTTCTTCACTGAGACCTCCCTTGTACTAACAATGCAGGTATATATTTCACCGGGGCGTCAGTAGTGGATATCAGGGTGTACCTATGTTTCTTCACTGAGACCTCCCTTGTGCTAACAATGCAGGTATTGGTATATATTTCACCAGGGTGTCAGTAGTGGATATCACGGTGTACCTATGTTTCTTCACTGAGACCTCCCTTGTGCTAACAATGCAGGTATATATATCATCGTAATGTCAGTAGTGGATATCACGGTGTACCTATGTTTCTTCACTGAGACCTCCCTTGTGCTCACAATGCAGGTATATATATCACCGGGGTGTCAGTAGTGGATATCACGGTGTACCTATGTTTCTTCACTGAGACCTCCCTTGTGCTAACAATGCAGGTATATATATCATCGTAATGTCAGTAGTGGATATCACGGTGTACCTATGTTTCTTCTCTGAGACCTCCCTTGTGCTCACAGTGCAGGTATATATATCACCGGGGTGTCAGTAGTGGATATCACGGTGTACCTATGTTTCTTCACTGAGACCTCCCTTGTGCTCACAGTGCAGGTATATATATCACCGGGGTGTCAGTAGTGGCTATCACGGTGTACCTATGTTTCTTCACTGAGACCTCCCTTGTGCTCATAATGCAGGTATATTTATCATCGTAATGTCAGTAGTGGATATCATGGTGTACCTATGTTTCTACACTGAGACCTCCCTTGTGCTCACAATGCAGGTATTTATATCACCGGGGTGTCAGTAGTGGATATCACGGTGTACCTATGTTTCTTCACTGAGACCTCCCTTGTGCTCACAATGCAGGTATATATATCACCGGGGTGTCAGTAGTGGATATCACGGTGTACCTATGTTTCTTCACTGAGACCTCTCTGTGCTCACAGTGCAGGTATATATATCACCGGGGTGTCAGTAGTGGCTATCACGGTGTACCTATGTTTCTTCACTGAGACCTCCCTTGTGCTCATAATGCAGGTATATTTATCATCGTAATGTCAATAGTGGATATCACGGTGTACCTATGTTTCTTCACTGAGACCTCCCTTGTGCTCACAGTGCAGGTATATATTTCACCGGGGTGTCAGTAGTGGATATCACGGTGTACCTATGTTTCTTCACTGAGACCTCCCTTGTGCTCATAATGCAGGTATATTTATCATCGTAATGTCAATAGTGGCTATCACGGTGTACCTATGTTTCTACACTGAGACCTCCCTTGTGCTCACAATGCAGGTATATATATCATCGTAATGTCAATAGTGGCTATCAAGGTGTACCTATGTTTCTACACTGAGACCTCCCTTGTGCTCACAATGCAGGTATATATATCATCGTAATGTCAATAGTGGATATCACGGTGTACCTATGTTTCTTCACTGAGACCTCCCTTGTGCTCACAATGCAGGTACATATGTCACCGTAATGTCAATAGTGGCTATCAGGGTGTACCTATGTTTCTTCACTGAGACCTCCCTTGTGCTCACAATGCAGGTATATATATCATCGTAATGTCAACAGTGGATATCACGGTGTACCTATGTTTCTACACGTAGACCTCCCTTGTGGTCACAATGCAGGTATATATATCATCGTAATGTCAATAGTGGATATCACTGTGTAGCTATGTTTCTTCACTGAGACCTCCCTTGTGCTCACAATGCAGGTATATATATCATCGTAATGTCAGTAATGGCTATCACGGTGTAGCCAACTTTCTTCACTGAGACCTCCCTTGTGCTTACAATGCAGGTATATATATCATCGTAATGTCAACAGTGGATATCACGGTGTAGCTATGTTTCTTCACTGAGACCTCCCTTGTGCTCATAATGCAGGTATATATATCATCGTGATGTCAGTAGTGGATATCACGGTGTAGCTATGTTTCTTCACTGAGACCTCCCTTGTGCTCATAATGCAGGTATATATATCATCGTGATGTCAGTAGTGGATATCAGTGATCTGTTTGTTTAGCTGCATGTTGATTCATGTCTGAAACTGAATCTTCTGCTTATGAAAAACACTGAACAAGCACTAAACAAGAAAAAATACACTTGTTCAGATACAGCAAAAAAACAATTTCTATTTTCCCTCCATCATAACTGAAATCACCCCGTAACTGACATAAACCTAGTTACAGCGTACATTCCTGTATCATAATGAGAAAGAACAAAGGATATCTGTATTCAGCAAACATTCGAAATGAACCATTAGTTCATTGAAACGGAAACTTTAACAAAGGGAGGTAACTTTGGCAATTCACATGCAACCAGCTAGTAACATTATGGTGAAGATGATTTGCCTTTCAAGCTATTTGCTCAGATATGACAATTGCCTTGAAATACAGTTTTGATTTCTGTACATACCTTTGTTTAATGTAGATCAGAAATTATTTAGACTTTTCAGAAATGAAATGGATGATATATAACTTGTTGTAAACGTTCAATCAAATATCCCTAGAGATACAAGGTTGACCACATGAAATTCTGGATGCAGGATGAGTATCTAATACTTGGATATCACTTTACACCTGAGAACAAAGAATTCTCCCTGCTATGTTGCAGCCCTCCCATCTGCCTCTTTGTGAACTCCTGAAGTCGGTCAAGGTGACGCCGACACACACGCAACCCTCGGACTCCTTGGCAACGCTACTGCACAAAGTGATCAAAGGTCAGCTGATATACCCCTGGATAGATGAAAAGAGCAGCAGTGACAAGAAGAATGTCTAGTCTACCACAGTATGAGGCTGGGGTGCAGTATAGTCATCGTGGAGACAGCAGCAGTGATAAGAAAAATTTCTTGTCCACCACAATATGAGGTCGGGGTATGGTATCGACATTATGGAGGCAGTGCCTTTTAAATTCAAAGTGCATGATCAGATTTATGATTCTTTTCCCATGGACTAGGGACATTTTTCCTATTCTTGTTGAAAATTATTTGGTTTTGGAAAATGTTAATGACTACAAATCTTATTCACACCTTCCATATATATTCATGTCCTCCATGAAGTCTATGTAATGTATGTAATTCTGCCCGAAGCTCACTTCAGTGAGATCTAGTTCCCTACTCAAGATTTAGAGAATAGCCTATGAGCAACTCAGAGTTACAAATTTTCTGTTCCAAGGCAGTTTATTTTATAAGTTTTAATATTTATTAACGAGGGACAGATAATCCGTAATTCAGAGTTGTTGTGTTGCCAGTTACAAGTAGTTTTTCTTTATATTACCCATAGTTATTTTTCTGACAAAATGTTCAAGTAAAGAACTGTGAGTTTCCTGATCTCAAATTGAGACATTATCTCAGTTACTGTATTGTTGGAATGATATCACATAATTCATCTTCATGAACTACGGATGATATCATCTTCGATTATTGATGATAATGCATTTATTACTTGTCTGTGAAGAGATCACCCGTTTTATAAACATACAGCTGTATTACACATTGTGTAATACCAAAATCCGTGCTTATGTACTGTCAGAACAAGTTTCATGAACAAATATTGAAAGCTCTCAACACCCCTTGGCTAATTCAACGACATTGCGTGTGGAGATCACTGAGAGGAGCTTACGCACACTCGATGACCCCAGCAACCTTGTTAGGCTGACTGTTTCGCCCATGGATCTTGCAACAAAATTCAACAAATTATGTCATCGGGTATTGTGACGTGATTGTAAACTTTGTGGTTCAGAGCCCCTTTCCACAAGAAGATCGTACTGTGGTGCAACGTCAGTCGTAAGTCTATATTAACGTATGTGAGTTGCAATGAAACCTTAGCACTACGATAACTTTGTGGAACGGACGCCTGAATTCTAAAGGTGGACCGTTGTATGGTATTAAATTAATACGTTTTAACATTTGACGTGTTTGAAGTATTATTCTGTTAAACTCAATTGGATATTATGCCATGGATCGTGTAGGTGTCAGCCTATTCACACGTGACAGTGTAATTCTAAAAACGTTATAAATGCAAGTAATAAATAAAATACTAAACTTGCTACCGTGTAAAACCAATGAAACTTATGAATAGATGTGATATCTGACTAGCTTTCACATTGATATTACACGGGAGCTCGTTTAGTATTCTATATTTATGTGACATCCTGTTGACATGGGCCTCTTTGAAAACAATGGTACTATTGTTATAATGCTCAGCAAGTGTTGCTGAAAATAATTCTATATCTTATAGGATTTCTTCTTGCATGCATATATTTTTGCTCAGGGCAGGCTTGAAATTGTCGTGTTTCAGAATTAGCTTTACAATATTTAAAAAACTACAAAAGTGAAAAAAAATAAAACCTTGGAAATCTGCATAGAAGTTAGATAAATGGAACATCAGATCACTGGGCTTAAACAGCACCAGGTTTAAACATGACAGGTGTTTATTATCAGGAGCAATAATCAAGTGGAATATTGTGTAGACAGAAAATCACACAAAGACATCGATGTAAGTCAAGGTGAAGATGAAGTTTTTTTATGGTGCAGTACAGTATTATAGTTTGACCATCTCAGGAAGCTTAGAGAAGTGCCTTTCTTACCGCAGACAGTGAGGTGATGCCCGGCATCACCAAAACATTCACTTTCCTGTCAACACACCATCGTGGCTTATGCAAGTTATAGATGTACTATGTCAATATCTGTCATGGCAGTTATAGCTCAACCTTCCAACCTGACCTAGGTCGCCTTCTACCAGACTGGTTAGCATGTGTCTGGATGGCTTGTCAGATTGTGTGTCTGTGATGTGTCTGTTGTTTGCCTGTCATACGTGCCCTTGACGTGTGTATCATGTGTCTTGAGTATCTGCTTTGTGTCTGCCATTTGTCTTCTTGAGTATGTATTTTCTGTGATGTGTCTGTCGCTCATCATTTTCATACTGCAGTTGACATGTGTGTGTGTGTGTGTGATGTATGTCTGGCGCATGTTTCACTGGTTTGTCTGCCATTCATCTTTAGTATGTACCTGTGATGTATTTTCTGCATGTGAAGGATGTCTGACTATCATACCGTATTCGACGTAATAAGCGCCCCGCTCTAATAAGCCCCCACGGTGATATTTGCTAATAATAATTCCTAGTGAACAATCCCAATTAGAACCCCTTCGGGTTGATCAATGTACACAAGACTTACTTATTCGTGTAATATACGCACTCGTGTGTCATATACACCCTTAATTATGGGCAATTAAATTCTGGAAAATATATCTATCGTGTATGATACGCACATACTTTTCTTTTGTATCATTTGAGGCTGTCAGCATAAACTACGAAATTTACGAGCTTTCAACTCTCTCTTTTTTTCTCACCAAAACTATATTCTAATAAGAGCCCCCTATTTTTAATTTTGAGAGCGCCCCAGGCACTTATTACGTCAAATACAGTATGTGCCCATGGTGCGCAGCGGAGATTAGCATGTGCCATGTGTGTTTGTGAACTGTGGTTAAACTATTGATGCTAACAAAAGTCAATGTTTTAAAGCCAGTGGCAATGCAAACAAGAACAAATGATGTATTCTGAAAAATATTCAAAGGAAGAATTACTTGTGATGTAATATTACTAGAATTTCTTTCGATCTGATCAAAACAGTTTGTTGATGTTTTATATGGAGATGCTATTTGTGTTTTACAGAGACAGGCAATGTAATTGTTATGCATTCCTGAGTGGTGGTAAATATATCTGTATATCTCAGTATGAAGAAAAGCTGTGACCTAACGGTGAAGAAGCATCAAGTCATTTTGTTATGATCTTTACATTTATATTAGCTGACCATGAGAACCGATCCCAGTGAGCGTATGTCATGACGTCATGACACACTGTCATCATCTGTCCATCCGTTGTCTGTCTGTTAACTTTTAATTTCTTCTCGTTCGAAATCCCGTTTCGCCCAGATTTTTTTCTAGGTTTGTCACCATCATACTCGTGGGTTTCACCGAAGTGGTAAACGTCTGAGACCTGAATCACTTTTAGCTTTCCTCCCACATTAACCTGACATGCTGTGATATAACTGGAATACTGTTCAAAGTGGCATTAAATCCAACTCACTCACTCTTCTCGGAACCGATTGAAGAGATGAGTCTGAAACTACACTACAATATGCTGCAACAGGGATCCGATATATCTTTAGATTAGGCTTAAAAAAATTAAAAGAATGGGTTCTTGGACAATGGCTTTTGAAAATATAGTGCCGGCGGTGTGTTTTGGGGGGTGAATAGGGAGGGTGGGGGAGTGGGATCAATAACCAAATAAACAGTTTGGGAAACGGCCTTCCTACATAAATCAAATACAATATTTGACTGCTGTTGTACTTCAAGTGTGTGCATAATACAAGCATACAATGAGCTTTGATTTTTGTTCACAACCCGAAGACGTTATCGTGAACACCGGAGGAAGCATGTAAACAACTCCGTAATGAAGTACGCACGTTAGTTCTATCTGACTATACAAGTGTTTATTGTGTATCTAGACTTACTTTTGTAGTCCATCATGTTATTTTTATCCAATCTTCCAATTTTGTTTACATTAGTTTCGGCGTAATCATGTATATCGGCAAATGACATCAGATGATCAACTTACTATGAACAAGCTCGCCTTGAAACTAACAGTAATCATTAGAGATACAAAGTCTTCGGTCTTCCTGTAACTATATTGAAATGTCTTTTCAGTTATGATGTTGGCCATAGCAATCATCTGTTCACACATTCTCCCCTATCAATGGGTGATTTTTGTTTAAGAAACACTTAATGTCCAATATCATTAAAATCAGATCTTAGTTCTCGCTATCTTGATTAGCGGCAGTGAGACCTTAGATCTGATTTTAATGAGATTGGACATGTGTGAACAGATGATTGCTTATTTTACGAGAAAAATACACATGTAAGCTTAGTCTCAGCGGATAAAACATTGTCCAGCACACAGAACACAAATACCATTGAATTTGTACATCATCATGTCTTGTGCTGTTTTATCGTAAATTTCAAGTTTACATTGATGAAACTTGCAAACGACAAAACAAGCACACAAATATCCTATTACCCCCATGACCATACCACCAGATTGCAGGAAAGCAGTGAGCATGTAAAGGGGAGTAACTTCCTGCTATATTGGATCGCATTGTTTAAAAGCATTTCACTGCCGGGGTCATGTGTTAGAGACGAGGAATATTTAAGGATTTTTTATTTTGTTTTGAAAATGAAAATAAAAACGAAATGTACAGCAGACTTTTAGATGATGCAGACGGTGCCTGAGAACCAAGACTACTATTTCTTTTAAGCCTTAAGAATAAAATCTTTTCTTCTGATGACATAACTGAAGCTGTTTGAAGCCACTCACTCCACCTCAATATTTAAGAAATCCATGCTGATGATATTATCTTAACATGTTTGTAAATCACTAAATACGTACGACACATAGTTATTCATGCATGTTATTTTCAAATACTTGCAGTCTTTCTATTGATTTTGATGTTTCGTCTTCAGTTTTCATAGAGTCAAGTTTTTATGATGAAGTATTTATCGGAGATATTCCCTTTATCACAAAGTAATCAAAATATATGGTCCCGGCCCAGGCCTTGACTATTGATGATTAAAGTGACATCCCCCCGAAAAAAAAAATACATTATATACTGATATATGTTATGCTTTCTGTTGAAATGTAGCCATCATTGAAATAAAAAATACAAAGAGGGTTTGAATGCCTTAGTCACCATTCATGCATACCTTGAAACAAATTTGATTTTTATTGTTGATGAAGCAAAATATCTATCCTTGTTTTATGAGTGCTTTTTACATATATATTTACACATATGTTTATCACAATAAACTGCACTACCTTGTCGATTCACTGTTTTGATTTGTTTTCTTTCGGGTGAGTGAGTGAGTTTGGTTTTACGCAGGTTTTAGCAATATTCCAGCAAAATCACGGTGGGGGACACCAGAAATGGGCTTCACACATTGTACCCATGTCGGGAATCGAACCCGGGTCTTGGGCGTGACAGTAAACGCTTTAACCACTAGGCTACTGGACCAGCCCCTTTCTTTCAAGTAGTCTGATAGCCAGAAAAGTAAATTCAGACCTCTTGGTGTCAAAGTAGTGCTTTGGGCAAAAGCGCCTAGTCACAATCAGTCTGCAAACTTGTTTTATCATCCCATACTGGCTGCCACAGGAGAGATCAAGGATACTGTTGGATCAAGGATATATCTCCTAGGATGAAAAGGCATCACAATGCTTTGAAGACTCCTGTGAAGTCCTTGGTTACAATGATGTTACTGACAGTACAGCCATCACGTGTAGGTTCATTGGCGAATCTCATAATATTAAAAAAAACCAGTGTAAGAGTAGACCCTTGAAGACCCGGTGTAAAATAGGTCTTCAGCAACCCATGTTTTCCGTAAATGGTGACTATGCGTATCGTTAGAGGCGACTAACGGGACCGGGTGGTCAGGCCCGCTGACTTGGTTGATGCATGTCATCGTATCCCAATTACATGGATCGATGCTCGTGATATAAATCACTGGATTGTTCGGTACAGACTTCATTGTTCACAGACCACTGTCTTATAGCTGGAACATGGAAGTGCGGCGTTAAACAAGACACAGTGTATGAGTCGAGAACAAAAGAAAATCGCAACTCCTGGGCACAGAAAAACGTCTGCAGCGTTCGTAAAATCAACAATTCAAGCACTTGAATGCTATGCAAGTCGAAGGACCAAAAGTTTCTCGGCATTCAAACCGAAGGCCAAAAGTACCCAAGTGTGCTGACGCATATTACACACCAACAAGCTATATTGCAATACGGATAATTTGATATACGGTTGTACTGAACTTCTGGAGGTTCTCGGATCGTGGACACGAGTGGTCAACACTGCCTAAACTCTACAGAGTTATATCCCTTAGTCATACCAGGATCCGCTGGTCATGAGTTGGACTCCTGGATCCTTGTTCACTAAGCATCATACCATAACATGGGTTGAATAATACATGTATTACGAATTGGTATTTCTTAATTTGTAGCTTTTTGCTAAGTATAAAACCAAATTATGAAGGACAAGATTATCACGTGTTTACATTAGCTGGATGAATTTTATTAGAGATGGATATTCAGTGTAATATGTCGAGAGATCCTATCTTCTTATAGTGGCATCAACGTATCACCCTGTTACAGACAATTTCCTATTTTACCATTTCGGTTGGAATACTTTAAACCTCTACTCGCTCCTAAAGGTGGGGGGGGTGGTTGTCGCTATCATAATGTGGTAAAGTGACTTGAGTGCGAACTATGCTCTGCGGTCTGTGTTAGTTTTTTCATCTTTACGTTGTAATAAAACGTATAACTAACACATGCACTGCTACGTTGTTAATAACTGCGGGGCCCGTGAAGATCCGGGTTAGAATAGATCTCTATCAACCCATGCTTGCCGTAAAAGGCGACTGTGCTTGTCGAAAGAGTCGACTAACGGGATCGGGTTGTCAGGCTCGCTGACTTGGTTGATGCATGTCATCGTATTCGAGTTACGTGGATCGATGCGCATGCTGTCAATCACTGGATTGTCTGGTCCAGACTCGATTATTTACAGATCGCCGTCGTTTAGCTGGATTATTGCTGAGTGCGGCGTTAAACAACAAACAAACAAATATTAACTGCGGTAACGTATCTCTGCTCTGCTGTCTACAAACGATTGTAGCGACAAGTCAGTATCAAACTCGTTTATTGTGAACAGCACAACTGCATTATTATTCGTCATACAATTTAAAAAAACAGACAAACAACAAAGGGTTTGCCAGTTGACCCAAGCCAAGTGACACTGATCCAGTTCCGTGAATACATCATAAGCGATGTTTAGGGAAAACAGGTAATTATTATCATAGACATGCCTGTTTATCAGAGTTTATCAACTTAACATGAGTTCAGATTTGGTATTGGTATAAATAATTTTGCTTTGTTGTTTTATGACCGTGCACCTCCTGTGGGCGACCTGGCACGCCTGCGTGACCTCATTGCGTAGTTCCCCAAATCCAGCTGAACAGGTTTGAGGTTGCATATTAGAAATAAATCTTGTGTCTTCAAGACTTTGTAGTTGGAAGAACATGAAGACATTAAATTGTTAACGATAACAACTTCTTT